TAACCGTAATTAAAATTTTGTTCCGGTTTCAATTTTCAATTGAGCAATTTTTCATTCCGGTTACAGTTACGGTTCAGTTAAAAATTCCGGTTAATTTCGGTTTACATAATTTAAGCGTGCTACAGAATATATATTTTTGACCATTTATAAGCATATTTCATCATAAGCATATTTTCTAGTTATCTTTTTGTATATATTTTTAATAAACTTCCCAAGCCAATACAGTTACAACCTTTTATTTTGTTTTCTCCTTTCTTATTAACTTGCTAAGTATAGAAAGATGTAACTCAAATTAATATTGCAAAATATAGAAAATCGATAAGCAACTGCAAACGTGTGTTGAATTGCGTGTTGATAAAAAAACAAGTTGCTAAATTCAATTAGAATTCAAGTAATTTCCGAAGAACTTTCTTTCGAGAAAGAAATGGGCTTTAGCGCTGCCTAGTTTGTTAAACACGTAAAATTAAGCAATGTCCTTGTGCATGTGTTTCTAGTATAAATGGTGCGAAACGAAATGAAAGTGCAAAAAGATACTTTAAAGTTAAAAATACTTTTGCTATGCACACAGCGAGCAAATGCCAAATATCCGTAAGAAATTTGTTAATAAACGGAATCCGATATTAAATGTCAAAGAGCTCAGTTTATTTAATTATTGTGTAACTTGGCGGTTATGCATGTTCGTGTGCGCAGTGTGGATTTGTGAATGCAACATGATGGAATTAATTTATTTGGTACGAGTGAAAGTTTTAGGTACAAAACATTAATATTGCAAATATAAAAAACGTCTTATTGAGTGAGTGAATGCACTAAATCTTTATTAAAAATAGCACAGCTAACGATAATTGATGTATTTTTTAACTTTATTTAAGCTATACACATTCTTGTTGTGAGTATTGATTACTGATACATCTCTTAATTTTAAACAAATCCATTTCTTAGTTCTTATACATTCTAATTGTATCACGCATTTTAATTGCTTAATATAAATAAAATAATTGCGAAGGAACTATACAATTTTCTTTTTTTTAATTACATATATTATAAAGTGGAACCTCGCTTAACGAGTTTAATCAGTTCCAAAATTTCCGGATTTTTACTCGTATAGTGAAATACTCAAATAGTGAAATATATTAAAAAATACACATAATATGTGTGAACAAGTTTTCGTCACTCGTTATGCGAAACATCGCTCGTCATTTTTCTTACAATTAATTTTGCTCGTTAAGCAAAATGCTCGTTATGCGAGGTGATCGTTAAGCGAGGTTCCACTGTATATTATTATATATTATAAGTGTTTATGTCAATGTCAAGGTAAAAATTATAAATAAATATATTTAATTCTTCTTTAGAATACGGTTACGTAAGGAAAGGTCAGTCATAGTAATTATGAAAGTTGATATCGCAGGTGATGGTATTCAATGACATTTCGGAAAAAAAAGTATACTCAATATTTTGATATTCTATAAAAATTGAAAGTGAATTTTTAATAGCGTGTTTTTTTTTTATTGTTTTCAAATTTATTCAGAATATATGTTCATTATATAATATACGAACAAATGTGAATTAACAAAATACCCGCTAGCCTTTAACTCGAGACTCAATTAAGGATCGAGTAAAAGTAGTTCAACACTTCCAAATTCAAAAAACAATTCGTTTGTTTATTTTCAGTACTCTAAAACGGGCGCAACTGCCAGCTCTTATATTGTTATTTCCGTTTCCGTTAAAAGTTACGAGAGCCGTCGGATATTAATTCAATCCGCATATTGTTGAGTTTAACCAAATGTAGCGGTCCCGCGAACAATACTTTTATGCATTCACGTACCGCAGTGAAAGAACATTTATGATCAAAAAAAAGTAATCCGCTTGCAATACTTCTATACGGTAAATGTTGTATACTATTTGAACATGTTAAAGGAATTATGTAATTAAAATGTTTATATTTATTGAAAAGATACGTTCACCTTTCCTCGTATGACTAACTCTTGCATTAATGAAAAAAGTAAGTATTATATTTCAAATTTAAACAAAATTTATAACAGACAAATATCAGACGTACCTTGCTGCCCGATTGCTTGAAGCCCCCGAGTTTTTTAATACTTGGCTGCAGATTAAACAAAGAAAAAAAATGAAATTCTCATTTACGATTTTTTGAACAACAAAATATTTTAAATTTTAAACTGTTATTCAAGTTATTAAAAACAAAAAAGTTTATATTGTAATACAATATATGTTTGTTATTTACTTCTATACAGATAATTGAGAGTACTTTTACTCGAAGTAAAAGCAGATGTTTATTTAATATATCATGATTATTGTATTAGCGAGAGCTCTAATTATTTTGCTGCTCCGAACATTGTAGAATGCGCGGAATAAATTAGAAAGAAGTAGATTAAAAGTCAACAACATGCAAATTGCCTTTTTCAAACACTATAAGAAGTGCATAATTAATATTTCATACTGTTTGTCAATGATTCACAACTGAACTGATGTGGTGATTAAGCAAAGAATGTCTGTTCTATTATATTACAAATTGTTTAGACGTGAATAATCGGACGGAAAAGTGTGGAATTTTGAATGTTTATAAATCCAAATTAATATTTTTTTAATAGATTTAGTATAATAATATCCTATTCGAAAATTTCAACTTTTTCTCTCTATATAATAACATTGTACATAACGACCCTACGCATTTTCTTTGTGACCCAGCTTCACCAAAATACGTTGCTGACGTTGAAGTAGGGATGAAAAAAACATAACACATTTTGCATGTAATGCGCAAAATATAACGAAAATGTAACTCAGTCGTTGTACTACTTTATTTGCAAAAAAAAATTGTAAATTGTATAAATATTACACAAAAAGAATTAATATAAATTCCTATTCTTTTTTTCTAATACAAATATATACCTTAAGATATCCTCGTTTGTGAAAACGACTATCTGTACATCAATATGTTTTCTTTAGATATCAAAACACTATTATAAATGTATATTTAGTTCATACATCAATTAATTTCTCAAGACATTTTCATGCAGTAAATGATCTTCGTTAAACACAAAATCGTGCAAAAATCAATTGAAATGATTCTGAAGTTTTCACCTTTCAAGAAGGTTGCGTTATTATTATTAAATTCTCCTCGTCGTGCAAATTAAGCATATTTCAGTCAGAAATAATTCTTATTCAAATACTTGATGTGCATATGCTGTCGTTACTTTTAATTGGATAAATATCATTAGATTTGCAAAATAGCACGTATACATATTAATTAACAGAGTGAAAACTCCCGTCACTTGATCTGTATCAATATTAATATCAATAAAATTGTACTCCTATGTTACTATAAGATTTTGAGTTTCTACTGCGGGAAACTACGATACAGATATATACCTTTCGCATAGACAAGAAAGCGTAAAAATGTAATTTGTCGTTCTCAATTTTCAGTATCTTATTACCGACATATAACTACGTATTTAAAGTTATACACGGTCATTCCCATATTCCGTTTCTAATATACGTCAATATTTTAATGCAATCAATTACATAATAAGCATATACAAATATGAAGGTAAAAAAATATCAAGTTTTTAAAATATTAGAATTGCAATATTGTTATATATTTATGATTAATAAAAGTGCATGTTCTAAATCAATTAAATGCAATTAAATGCAATTGACATAACAGTGAATAGTTTGATAAATCCAAAAATATAGTATTATAAGCGTGAAATCAACTGCCTATGTTAGTGTTTCTTATCCACATGTGAATGTTAATGAGCTTTACAATCGAATGCTGCCGTGAAAAAGTAAAATACATTATGCATTAACAGGAAATCTTATATAAATATGCATTTAACAAAAGTCACGAATTTTATTGTTAGCATTAATATTATATAAAATGTTCAATCTTCATTTTCGCATCGTGCGTGAATTTATTGCTATATCAAGTAAATTATTTTAAAATGTCACATTCTGAACGATTTAACAATGCAAACTAAAACAATTCATTGTAAACCATATGTAAAATTTAATTTCATCTCATGATTTCGATAAAAATAGATTTTTTTAGATATAAACCTTGCATAAATGTCGAAACTCAAAATCCAAATAACATAAAAGGAAACAAGTTTGTTGGGAGGTAAACAATTTAAAAGTAAAGACATTCAAGGTTCATATGAAATCAGGTCGCAAATTATATAATTTGTCAATTAATGCAACAGGCCAAACGAATATAAGAGTAGAAAACTATTTTCTTGATTTGTCACATTATTTTAGTCATATCCATAATACTTATAATTTATACTATATTATTTATATCTATGTACAATGTTTTGTTTTAATAACATGTTACATTAAAACATTTACCCAAATATACATTAAAACATATTATTATAATAGCACTAAATAACATTTATTGAGTATTTTTTAATACATACCATACTGTTATCCTTAAAAATAGACATGGTATCCCATAGAATTAGATTAACATAATTACACTGATATCATCACAAATAGTCTTTTAAAACACTTATAGGACGTTTAAATTGTAACAAATAAAAACAAAGCGCTTGCTCGAAAGGTTGTAATGCAACTGAAACATAACATTTTCAAAGGAAAAGTTTCCGCGTAATTGTTAATTAGCTGACATCAATATTACGATTGGTGGTTGGAGTCACGTGGTACGCAAACCGAAGTAGGAAATTGGTCGAATTTGAATAGCTATGGAAGTGGTAAAATACGAGATCTAGAGTGCTACATTATTTATCAAATAAAATAACAAATTGATTTAATTGATTGACGTTGATGACATGTCTTTAAAACGAATTGAATAGAAATATTTATTGGTATTTCTCAAACGAAAACATATTAAAATATTTATATCAAACGGTCAGTAAAGGTAATGCTCTAATTATTATTTATAGTTGATAGTTGCATATACTTACATTATAAATTTAATCTAAACTATGTAATCTTTCTAGTTATTTTTATATTGTTATCTATAGGTACATTCGAAAGGCAACACTGCATTGGGGGTGTAGCGGCTACATTCACTTCAGTTATTCCGTTGCCAGAGTCGAGTGTCGGCTATTCATTTTTTTGAAATTTATACAAATTCATCAAAATGACTGAACAATCGTAAGTATTGTGAAATTCTACGTTTTCAATGTAATTATGATCTACCTAAAGAGATCGGTAGCATTTATAACAGTAGCTACATAAAAATCTCGTGTTTGCGGCACTCGGCCATGTTGAATATACAATCCGAATGCTTATTGATTCTTAAATCTTCCACTTATTTTACAAACATCATCATGCACTGTTTTTATAGCTACCTCTATAAAATTTGTCGAGAAAATGTAAATAGTTGCAAGTAATGTTAATAATTTATATATAACCTCAAATGTTTCAGGAATACCTTACCTCCACCAATAATGTGGGCCCAAAGGTCTTCAGTAGTATTTCTTACTATAAATTTAGAAGATGTAAATGATCCTATTATTAAGTAAGTATCATACATTGATTTGTTTTCAACAAAAAGTATTAATGTCTGAAATCTAATTTTAGATTTGAGAAAGATTCTTTATATTTTAAAGGCATTGGAGGTGCAGATAAGAAGAACTATGAAATCAAAATTTCTTTATATAAAGATATAGATCCTGAGAAGAGCAACAGTTTCAACAGGGGTAGATGTATTGAAATTGTCTTGACAAAAGCAAACACAGAAGATTCTTATTGGCCTTCACTCACAACTGGATCTGTGAAACATCACTGGTTGAAATCTGATTTCAACAAGTGGCATGATGAAGATGATTCTGAGGATGAAGGTGCAGGCCAGGGATATGGTGACTTCCAAGACATGATGAAAAAGATGGGAGGTCTTTATGATGGTGGTGATGGCAAACCTTCCTTGGATGATCTCGATATGGGTGAAGCTGATTCTGATGATGAACCTTTGCCAGATCTTGAGTAGTTTGTGCTTTCTTTTATTAACTTAATATATAATCATTTTATTTCTATTCATATTATTTGAATATAAACCCAATTGTTTATAAAACAAAAATACATTGTAACTTATTTTCTTGTGGTTAATACATAAAGAGCATTAATTGTAGATTTTTGTTATGATTTGTTCTTTAGTATAAGAACTGCATATTCTGTTTTGTCAACTTAGGTTTATATTATTTTTTAAGAATGAACAATAAATAAAACCAATTGTTTAAACTATTATTTTTTTAAATGCCTTCACATATTCATAAATATTATTTAAATGCAATCATTGTATTAGGTGGCTTTATTTTCCTGTTGATCAAACTTTGGATACTTTCCCTCAACAATTGTCCATTTTGTCTTATTGTATGACAATTCGTGAATTACTTGAGCAATTTCTTCAAGCTAAAATAATAAATTAGTAACGACCAGTCATCATTTTGTATTAGTATTTAAAAAGCTTACCGGAATTCTGACTTGATTCATCGAATCTCTTTCGCGCAATGTCACACTATGAGGTTCTTTTAAAGTATCAAAATCGATTGTGATCCCATATGGAATTGCAATTTCGTCGGTACGAGCGTAACGTCTTCCAATCGATCCGGAACTGTCGTCAACTTTGTGCGAAACATCTACCTTGGTTAGAGCCGCAGCTATTTTCAAATGAGATTTATTAGTATATTGTTAAGTATGTATTGTACATATACTTACATATCTTTTTAATGAATGGTTGAAACTCAACATTGGAACTTAACGGTAAAACGCTGCATTTAAGTGGTGCTACAGATGATGGTAAAGATAAGTAAGTTCTTTGCTCATCATTTTCACGCATTTTGAAATTATGTTCAAATATTGCGTACATTATACGGCCCACACCTAAAAATGTATATCAAAACAACTATATATATTTAATTGAATAAATACCAAATGATGGTTCGATGACACTTGGTGTTATTTCATCAACATGAATAGTTTTTTGATATTTCTTAACTTCAATCATTTCCTTAGTCAAATTAAATGATTTTCCATCAACTACTAAATCATAAGACCTGCAACAACCATATATATTGAATTTTTTTAACTAACACTTACATCGTTAATTTACCCTTTTCCTTGCAATTGTTTATCAAAATCATCAACAGCGCTTTCACTCAATAGATTTAGAGCATCAGTAATAATCTTCGCATCCTTTTTAAATGTTTTTCCCAATAGGCCTTTATTAGGAATGGCTTCGACGACGTCAATTACTTTTGGCTCTGGTAATTTTTTCTCTGCGGCCAAACGTACTCCTGTAGCTTTTGTATGTTGAGTAAGATCATATGCAGATCTATCTGCGCACCCAACGCATTCAATCCAACCCTTAAATTTTATAAATTAAAATACTGTTAGTTGTTGTAGGATTACATCATAAACTCACATAACTTGTTAAACATTCAGCATCCCAACAATCTTGGGCATAATGGGCCATTTCATTAGCCATATGTTGCCTGAAACGAAGTTTGGTGGTTTCAACACCAGATTGAATTAAGAACATTTGTATTCTTGCCATAAAATATCCCAAAGTTTCATTAGCAACTAATCCTTTTTCAACTGCATCTCCAATTTTTACTCTTTCAGCAGCTTTACCGTCCATTTGATTACATGCTGAATATAACAACATCTCAGTTTGAGCAACATCGACAAACTTAGGATGTTTCTTATCATCTGGATCACAAAAGTGTTCTATTTCAGCCATGGTGAATTCACGAACACGGATCAAACCTGACCTGGGCGAAATCTCATTACGGAAAGCATTTCCAATTTGGGCAGCGGCGAATGGCAATTTGCCTTGATTAAATTCAAGTAATCTCTTGAAATTGACGAAGATACCTTGGGCTGTTTCAGGTCTCAAGAAACCTTTAATCAAACCAGATGGGCCAATTTGTGTTCCAAACATAAGATTAAATTCAATTGGTTCTGTTAAATCGTTTCCAGTAAGTGGACTTTTCATATTGAATTTGACCATTACAGCAGCCATTTCAGCTTTATTCATACCATCCAACTACAAATTAAATATTTAAAATTTAAAATATCATACTGGACAAATTGTTACCTTGATTATAATATCTGAACAGTCAGCTTTGGTTTCATTGCTTGTCTTTTTATCAGCAGAAATTTTTTCCAAATGTGCTTTAATCAAATGATCAAGTCTAAAGCATTCACCTGTTTTCATATCTTTTGTCATTAAATCTGCAAACCGGTCCACATGTCCAGAGGCCCTAAATAATTGTTATTATAATATTAAAGTGCATATAATAGATATCAGTACCCTACTTTAAAACAGTTTCTGGTGTTAAGATAGAACAATCCACTTCCAACATTTGTTCTTCAAGAACAAAGAACTGCCTCCAAGTTTGTAAAAGATTGGCCTTAAAAGCACAACCCATTGGGCCAAAATCAAATTGTCCAGTTATTCCTCCATATATAGCAAAAGACTGATCATAGAAAAATCTGCGTTTGAGCAGATCTTCCATTTTAGCACGATCAAATGTTGCTGCATCAGGAACCAGACTTAACTCCTTATCTTCTAAAATCTTTTTCCTAGCTTTTAATTCAGCCACTGCTTTTTTAATATCCAGATCAGGTGCACCATCTGCTTTCAATTTCCTAACCAAATCACCCTAAGACATTATAAATAATTATAGTAACTTATAAACACATTGTAGAAAATCCTACCTGTTCTTTAACATTAGCTCTCAATGGGGCTAATATTACTTCAATCTGTGGATCAGCCATGCTATCTAAAAATATATTTAATTTTACTGTACGATGATTTTTCTTTGTTCCCCACTTTGTACTATAGCTGCAAGCTGGTAGACACAGATGCTTTGCAAAATTGCAGTTTATAGTAAGAGGCGTGAAAGTACAGTTAGAAGTGGTCTTTGAAAGTCTGCACAAATGATGTATACTTCTTAGCAATTTCATTGGTTCGAAAACGCCGCGTGGCATTCGTAACGTAATTGAAATAATTAAAAAATATTTTATATTAATTTATAAGTAAAACCGTGTCCTAGTCTATGAATATGTGCTTCATTATTTCATATATCAAAATGTTTAGTTTGAAAAAAAAGCTAAAATATATTACTTAACCTAAATTTCCAATACACTTTGAAAGCAGTTTCCAGTAGTTCCAACAATGTCCGTTTGGTCCGTTTTATCGATCTACTGTTTGCATCTGGTTCCATAAAAAAAGCGAACACGAAAATCATATCAAAATTTCGCACAGAAAAAAAAAATTATTAATTGAAACAGCTGACATAGAAAATCTTTCTTTATATAATTATTTAATCTTGGGAAATAAATGAATCATTAAAAATGAATTTCCATAAGCACTAATTGCGGCAAAATAAAACATTTTATAATTCATATGCTGTTATTGAGTATATATCGCAAGCCCGAAAACCGAAATACCGTCTATAGAAATCCCACGTTCGAAATCCAGACAACCATAATCCCGACCACGACTAGATTAAAATCTCGACAACCATAATCCCGACTGTATTATAATCTCGACAACCATAATCCCGATTTGACTGAATCAAAATCCCGATTATATAGAAAAAAATTCCAATAACATTTTTAAATTATTTCGGTTTAAATAAAAGTTATAAATAACATTCATTACAATCAATGGAGAAGGATGAAATTATTTGTATTAAGACGACAGATCATCATAATTTGGTTTCTTATATTTAAATAGATTTATATCAATTTATTTATAGATATAAATCTCTTTCGGTGGTTTAACAGCCACCACAAATTTTTGTTGGTTTTTTGGGAATCGAACCAACGTCCTTCCATATCAGATTTTCGTGATACAGGCGACCATAGCCAGTTAAAACTACTTAGATCCACAAAATATGCTCTTCCCAATTTACATCTTTGTATAATCATCCTAAGGCCTCTTTTTCACCCTTGTACTGAACCCTGGTTTAAAAAATCGTTGTTGGAATATGATATAGACAAATCAGTTTTCCAACTACTAATAACCAAATATTGATGTAGTTTATTTGTTTAATATTCATTGAATATAACATATTTGCTAATGTTATTTATATCGGCTCAACAACTTATGTAAATAATAAAAAAAATAAGAGGCTGATTGTCATTTTTGTTTTATAAATAATTTCGATTTTTATTAGTTTTTCTATTTATAATTAATCACGTATACTATGAAATAAAAATATACTTACGTTGATATGACAACTTAATCAAAAAAATAAATAAACTTGAAAATATAATACTTTGAAATAAAATGAGAGCATTTCCAAAGAATATTGTACAACGCTGCTTGCAGATTATACAAAAAAGAAGAAACAGCAGTTCCTTCAACTTGGATGCTCCTTTGACAACAAATTATAACGATCTACCCCATCCCAGAGGTTGTTGGAGGACAATACACGACGCAAATCAGAAGATATATAATGCAACATTAGCTGCAGGAGTTTCGTCGGTGATAATTACTGTGGTGGTTCTGAAAGTTTGCGGATTTTTATATTTTTATAGAAGTGAACAGCCGCTCTGCCCCAAAGAAAAGAATGAATACATATGAATATGTTAAAATGTTCGTAAATAAATATTATTCTTAATAATATATGTTTAAATATTGCTATTAAAAATAACATTCATAAAATTTAATTTCCAAACTCTCATATACAGTGAAACCTCGCTTAACGAGTTTAATCCGTTCCAATATTTCCGTATTTTTACTCGTATAGTGAAACATATTCAAAAATACACATAATATGTGTACACTAGTTTTAAAAATGGTGTTCCTACTGTATTTCTTAATTTCGTTCATTTTTCATAACACTGGAGTTAAACCAAGTCTATGGCAATATTAAAATGGGTCTATATCGCAAGCCCGACTGTCGTGTCCCAGGGTTAAGAAATCCTTGGACACCGTGGATTATCTCGTTGTTACGTCGTTGCGGAGTCTTGGAGGGGTTTATGAATATTAAATGCAATATTCTTATTTAACTTTATTGTGTACATCTGAGTTTTTATTGAAAAGTCAACTAAACAATAGTTGATCTCAGGTATTATTAACTAAGAGTTACATTCTCCTCTTAAGTTAGTTTTTATGAAGTAAGTGCTCTTCCTTGGACTCTCCCAAGTAAGACCATGTTCTACGTTGGACCCTCTTACTAAGACTTCCTCCCAGTTCGACCCCTTAGCTAAGACTAAATTATATAATACAAAAATGTGTTCATTTCAAAAAGGGGCTGCATGGGAAGTAAGGGTTTGACTTTGTAGAAAACACAACTGTTTCTTTATCTAAGTTTTATGATCCTGCCCAAATATTTAGGGGCAGAAGGCAGAAGGCTGTTAAGTGGTTATGCAATAGACACAACTATACGATTTAATGTGTAACCGTGGTTTGGAATATTCCACAAGTTATTCTAAATAATCACGTACAATGTATATTTGATGGATACATTAAATATGATTTGTAATAATTAACAGGAAAGTCATGGCCCTAACAAATATACATATTAGTTATACAATAGATGACAATAAATTGGTCGGCCACGACACGACAACCGAAAGACCGTCTATTGAAATCCCGACGTTCGAAATCCCGAGTGTATTGAAATCCCGACAATCAAAAATAATGAAGACAATCGAAATCCCGACAGTGTCTTTTATTATAATAATTTCTACAATAACATTTTTAAATTATTGTACTATATTTTAATAGGTACGACGGATACTGAAAAATGGCTCTTTTGCCAGATTATTAATTGTTGTTATTTATTCTTAATAACAATAAATAATATTAATTATTATTCTATTTTTTATTCATTATAAAACTTAATTATAATCTGTAACACGGAGTCATCGTCAACATGTTCCTGTGCCAATAAATATAATGTAAAAATATATTGTTATTATTCCTTGAAAGGTCATTAAACCATTTTTTGATAGTTATGATGGTTATGATATGTACATTAGACTTTATCGATATAGTTATAGATTTTCAATATATTTCTTCGATTCTTGTCTATAAGATTAAAGTCTTAACTATTATGTACTGAAATAATATCGCAATAATACATTTATGCGATACGAAGTTGTTGAATTTAAAACTAAAAATTATCATTGCATTTAGTGAATATAATCTTAATAATAAAATAACTTTCCACCAAGTGATAAAAATCTATAGCATAAAATTGACGCTGTTTATACTTTCAGTTACGCACTGTTTACCTATGACTAGGCAAAGTGATTGACGGTAAAAGAAGCTGCGCACTATCTTCGCTTGCATGTGTATCATGGAATTTTCTGGAATATATGAAATGTGGGTTGCCAATCCAATAACAAAGATAATATTTTTAATTTCTATTTATTCGTATACAGTATTAATATATAAATTTCGATTATTTGTATTAAGTCTTATATCAAATACTGTGTATTTACAATTTCAATTTTAGCTATGTTTGTATTTAGAGTTGCGGTGATTATTTTGTAATTATTTACGATTTTTTTCATTAAGAATATTAATTTACACCTTGTGACAGCTTAAATAATTCAACAATAGTTTTTTTATTTTGCTTGTGCGATATTCATTAGTAAAAGTAACATGAAATGAATGTCTATGAAAGTGATTTTACTATTATTGCGATTTTGTTAGAAATTGTCACAATAATGACAGTTGTACAAGAATTTACATAAGTGTTGAAGTGTATGGTATAGTTATACTCGTCATACTTGACCAATACAGAATACAGTGCATTGATTGATGCAGTGTTGGTGTTTGTGTGGTGAAAAAGAAATAAAATGAAAATATTAAAAAAAAATAGAATTGATAACAATTATAAATACATACACACATTGCTATAATGTTCAATTTATATTTGACCCTTATATCAATCCTTGATCTTTGTGTGTTGTTGATAGTGTCATAACTCTGATTAAAACTTCAGAAATGTTTAGTGGTTCACCTTCTTGTGTGTCTCCAACAGAAACAATAAACATGTTTAACAAAGAAGCTAACAAAGATAAAGAGAAGCCTGAGAAGGAGGCAATTCATTCAGGACATTTTATGGTCTCACATTTTGAGGCAGAGGCTCAAGATGATGAGGATGAGTTAGCTGTACCTGTACCCGAAGTAAATGAACCCAAACATGAAATTGTGACTATCAAACCTAACAAAGAAAAATACCAGCTGCAACGTAAAAACAATCATAGGCCCCAGATTGGGATTGATACAAGTTTATCAAAATTGTTTCAATGCATGTCCTTAGCCTATAGGTAATATTTAAATAAATTACTTGATATTTGTTAATGAATATATTTTTTAGACAAAAGTTAACCTCACCTAAATGGAACCGTTTTAGAGGCATACGATTGAGATGGAAAGATAAAATTAGATTAAATAATGTTATTTGGAGATGTTGGCACATGCAGTGTAAGTTTCTATATTCTATTTATACCAAAATTATGATTATTTTAACTTGCAACAATAACATTTATAAAATTAAGATATTTTTTTTATTATTACTAATTATATTTTATTTACAGTTATTAAAAAGCAAAATACATTGATTTGCCAATTTGCTTCTCCACTAGATGTTGATACACATAATAAACCAGAGGTTTGTTAATATATTAATATAATGTTAGTTACTTTATTAGTAAGACATTTTATTATTTTAGGCTGTAGTCTTAGAAGGAAAGTATTGGAAACGAAAATTAGCAGCCGTTACAGCAGAATACAAAAAATGGCGAATGTTTTATCGAAATCAGACTTTTGGTCACTCGCGCGACACTACAGACATGGTAAACTGCTCGAAATGCTAAATATACTAATAAAACTATAATATACTTTCAGCTAACAGAAATGGAGCTTCTAGTATGGCATTCACAAGCTGTAGATGAGAGTATGATGGTTGATGAAGATTACATGGGTTTAATGAGTGACACCCTCTTTTCAACAATAGGAAATCAACCATTTCAATTTCCAGATACAAGAGAAATTGGTATTTCTTATTTTTAGTTTATTTTCATAATTAATTATTACTCTCTATATTAACAGCTAAAGCAGGTTTGGCAGACTTTATTCAACCTAGTTTGGGACCATTGCAACCAAATTTAGATGATTACATGGACACGTTTGAACCATTTCATGGTAGGCATCTACATAACTATATATATAAGTATATATTTTACAACCTGTTTTAGAATTACTATCTGGAAAATTAGCAACTGTACCAGAAGAAAACACAAATTACAATTTGTATAAGCATGTTAATTGGGATTATCCAAATATGGTATTAATGTCTAATCAAAATGTGCAGGTATGTATTGAATTATTCTGTGAATATTTATATATATATTCTCATTACTTTAGATGCTAGCATCAAATAATGTTATGGATGATTATGGAAACACCATTCATAATATTGATATAAAATCTGGTTTAGATGACAATAGACAGATACAGCAATATTCTTCATCAGTTCAGAACTATAACGGAAATAGTTCTTTATTATATAATTCATCTGATATGATCTCAAAAAATATGAAACCAATGATTGACGTTACTCCTTTGCAGAAACTAGATCAAACATATCCCACAAAAAATATTCAGAATACATTTTCAGCTTTCCCGCAAGGTGTTGAAGTTGTTACTAATAGTTTAACACCTGATATTCGATTACAAAGTAAGCTAAAAATAAAATTTAATGATTTTTCTTATAAGACTTTTTGCAGCACCAACTCATGACTTTAAATTGAATCACAGCCCAACTGAAGATATGGGTTACAAATTTATGCCTCCGGCTACGCCTAATCCGAAATTTGCATCTTCTATATCACAAAGTGTAAAATTTACATCACAAGTAAGTTTTAAGAATTGCTATTTTTAGCATATAAGTAATTACTATCATACTTAATACAGAAAGAAGATAAAGCTCCAACAAGAGGAAGAGGAATACGAGGTAGACCGAGATCAAGATCAAATACTAGGGAACCTACGAAAAAGCCTCCCTTGATATCAGCAGCTAGTGATCCATCTCTTTTAAATTCTAGCAATAGCGCATTATTGACACAATTACTTACAAGCAAGATATACGTCTATTATTATTATTATTACATTTATTTTAATATTTTGATTTAATATTTCAGAAGAGAATAATTCTTTTATGCAGCAAAATCAGAGGGTCACAAATTCCCATGATAATATACGAATAAAAGATGAGATGCAACCAATTCCAATTCTTCCCCAACCATCGGCAACTACACTTATTATTACCACACCTGTTAATATAACACCAATGCATGCAAATTTAAATGATCCGGTAACATTTTTTTTCCAGAAATAATGAATTTTTTTGTAATGATAATTATTGATATATTTTAGTTGTTATTGAATACAATGAGTGCATCGAATAGTCCCATATTAGAAAACAATCCATGTTTGAATTCACCAACTTCGTCACAAGGATCAATGGGCTCACCAACTAGGGATCCTCAAAATAGAGATCAACGAAGAGTTGGTCATATACACGCTGAACAGAAACGACGTTATAACATAAAAAATGGATTCGATATGATCCATTCCCTTATTCCACAACTAAATAAGAATCCAAACGCAAAAGTAAATATTATATCTATTAGAAATATTATTATATAAAAATACTTTTAGTTAAGTAAAGCTGCAATGTTACAAAAAGGTGCAGAATACATTAAGCAGCTTAGGGTAGAAAGGAATTCAATAAAAAATGAGATGGATAACCTCAGGCAGGAGATAGATACATTGAATGCATCTATAAGGTAAATTTCTAAAAAGTTCTGATAACAGTCATTGAAAACTTTTTAATGTCTATTAGCAACTGCCAGTCTTTACTGCCCGCAACTGGTGCACCAGTTTCAAGAAGAAGAGACAATAAAATGCAAGAAATGTTTGATGAATATGTACGTAGTAGGACACTGGAAGACTGGAAATTTTGGATAGTATCCTTTTCCTATATATAAATATTTTTATTAAATTATTTTAGCTTTCTATATATTCCTTATAAAAAATATAGTTTAGTTTATTATTTAGACCATTGTTAGCGTCTTTCAACAATTTTGTATCAACTTCAAGTAGAGAGGACCTCTATAGATCTACTTTAAATTGGATTGAACAACATTGTACATTAGTGGATCTTAGACCTGGTAAATACAATTATGTTTGTATATTGTATGCATATATACTAACTATTTTTAATTTTAGTTGTTCTTAACTCGCTGAGATATTTATGTACAAAAACAGATATTCTGTCAGAACCAGAAAAGTTACCAGATGAAGCACAACAAATTGTACTTTCAAAACAAAACCAACAGTCTATGTAACATAATTTGTAATACAGAGTTATATATTTTTATTCATGGTAATTGGTTTAGTTTTAAGGTCTTGCCATATTTACCCTTTAACAAATGTATATATTTTTTGTATTATGCAATGAATATAGTTCTAAAAATAAAACAATATTTTCTAAGTACTTGTTTGGGATATTCCGTCAAACATGCCAATTGCTAACAATAAGTTTCTTCTAGTAAAATGTAAATGAATAAGTGGCGAGTTTTTAGTACCGTAATTCCATAGTAGATAGTTATCTCCCATTTTAACCTCCGGGTTATGTGAAATATTAACGTCTTCTGAACTACTATCGTCTGCTAATTTAGAAAAATCCCACATTTTGACTGTACAATCCAATGAACCTGAAACTAAGATGTTGCCACATCTACTAAATGTTAATGTATGTATTGGCTTGTTGTGTCCATTCAATTCTGCCACTAAATGGCCATGGGCTAAATCCCAAACTAATATTTTGCAGTCTGATCCAGCCGAAGAAAGGAATCGGCCGCAAATGCTGAACGCCAATGCATGGATAGGCGATTTATGGCCTGTCATTAATCTAACGTGATTACCATTTGTGCAATCCCATAAGCAAACTCTTCGGTCGCTTGAACCTGTAGCGACGTAGTTTGAGTTGGGATGAAATTGAATACACTAAAAATATAATATTAAATTAATATGTTCCTAATACTTCTTACTCAACACTTATTACATCTACATCCGAAAAGTGGCCAGCAAACATCCGGAGAGGTTGATAGTGATCCGTGGCCCATAATCTCGCAGTTCTATCATTCGAAGCAGAAGCAAAATAATAACCGAGCGGTGAGAATTTTACATCCCAAACCGGAAACATATGTCCCTTATATACAACGAGACAAGTCCAAATTTGTAAACTCCATAAGCGAATAGTCGTATCTTCAGAACAACTCAGCAGCAAAGTCCTGTCCGGCGCAAATGAAACTGAATACACGTTTCCAGAATGCCCAAATAAAGATCTCGATGTTTCACCAGATCTTTCGTCCATCATTCGAACCTAAATTCAATAATTTATGAAAACCTATACAACAAGCCTACATATGTAACAAATTGTGTAACACAATGCTCAAACAATTTGTAAAATATAATCCATATTCTATATGACTTTTATACCGTCCATTATGATAAAAGAATAGACCATTGATTGATATGGACTAATAAAGTTCTAGGCAATGTATATAAAGCCGGTCTCATACATTTTTCTACAAATATGTACATCAAAATAATATATAGTTACCAATACATCTTCTGCGTCAATATTAATATCATTTAATTGATTTGCAGTTTTTAGAGCCCTCAATTTTTGAGGTACAAGCGTCCAGACTTTAACCAATGAGTCACTAAAACCGACAGCTAACATACTTGAATCTTCTGTGATGTCAGCACATGTAACGCTATAAAAATAACATATTCTTAATATTTATATCACTTTAAAATAAATATATATTTACGTGTGGTTTGCATTCAACAAAGTATAGCAACAAATGGAAGGCGATGTTTCTGGATTTAAATTTACTCTTTTAGAAGCTTCTCTCAATGCTTTTACCTTTTCTAATTTATCATTGTCCTTCCTAAAAAGATAATTAAATGTGTATTGTGAATATTATAAACAAATATATTATTACAGATCTGGAATCGGAATTCTGTCAACAGGTGGTGCATTAGGATCAGATTTAGTTTTTTTTGAAAATAGAGGATCTTTTTTGGGCTTCTTTTTCTTAGGTTTATCTGGAGCATCTGCATCAAGTCCATCATCTTCATCTTCTACTGGTGCTGCCAAAGATTGTATATCTGGTGCCTTTGGTAATCCATAATATACTTTTGTCTTATTATCTAAAATTATGTTGTATAATTTTACTCACTATAAATTATTCAAAATACCTTGACGTGTAGCTTCACCAATAACTGCTCCTGATGTTGCGTTAATTTGAATTTTATTCCTGGCAACTCCTTCATACATATCAAAATATAAATGCTCTTGAACAATATTCATGAGAACAGATGCTTTTTTATCATGCAAATGTCTTTTCAAGAGAGAAAGGGTGTCTCTGGACATTCTTATAATGAATTGATTAGATTTAAATGTATCTGTAAGTTCATTTCCACTCATATGATCTCTTTTTGTGACAAGTGCAAGTTTTTTCAAATCATCTTGATAATAACAATCTTGCTCAGGGCCATAACGTTTCATTAAATTAATGGCCTTTTCTGTATGTCCATTGTACACTAATTCTAGATACATATGAACCAATACTGGATACAGAATCATTCCCAATTCATGTTTATAAATATCAAGAGAGGATTCAATGAATCGTTTAAGTTCCATATAACAATCTTCATACTTTTCAGGATCACCATCACTTTTATAACCAGTTAAAACACTGCTAACGTCAGAATCTTGACTTTCTACACTTTCATCTATATTAGCCTCCTTCTTTAATAATTCTTCAGTTCCCTAAAATAGTAATATTATTAAATATTGGTAAACAAATAAAGTAATTGTAGAAATACCTTCAAATTATATTTTTTTAGGACTTGCAGAACAGCTAGAAGCTGATTTTTATCTGGATTTGGTGGATGCATTTTTCTACACTTCTTTCAGCAACCCACCAGCACTTTTGCACTTTTACACCGATAAAAATATTGTAAACAAATGAATAGGTTAAACGGAGAAATATCATAAACATGTATATATTTAGTGAATATGTCTATTATTAATTCGTGAGGTTGGTACATTAACCATTTTTACTAAAACATGGCAACAGTGTAAAATAAATGTATAGCTAAAAACTTTATATAATTAATAATATTATAATTATTAATATAATAGATAATATTGTAAATAATAAACATAAACTTTATAGTAATTTAAAAAAAAATCAATATTAAATACGAGAAGTTTACACAAGTTAAAAAGCAACGTTGTATTTATCGTAATCATTTAGAATAAGATAGTGCTATACCGTAATATCAGTGCCAAACAAAGATAGCATTATTCAGAAAATGTTATGCATTTCCACTGTTGTATTTATTTTTTTTATTAGTGATTGTATGTGCTTGTTTTCATGTTTTTAAAGTGTTCGTTGGTGGCGCTGACGATTTGACCGTCAATTTTCCCGGTCTTTTTGTTATTAAAGGCTGTTAAGCAGTTATTGGTATATTTTTTAAATGTAGGTTTATTTGTGATTGAAGTTTTAGCGTCAGTATTATATCTTAATTTATTTGATACAATTATACGTGTTCAATTTCATATTTAAATTTGTAAGTTCTAAGTGATTTAAAGATCGCCATATTTGATACGAAAATCCGGCAATATTAAATACAACTTTAGCGTATCAAGTTCCAAATAACTTTAAGGTATAAATTTATATATTGATGATTATATATTATAGATATCTTATGTCAAATATATATGTATTTTAATTGTTATATTAATTGATTTCAGATTGTTTTGAGGTTATCCACAATAAATTTATGTATATTTACTTATTTGTATATACAGCAGAACATCTAAAACTAATTATTTTAAATTTTGTTTCAGCCATTATCCACTATGGGCAATAAGAAAGTTGAGGATTCAGAATCTGAGGAGGAATACTCTGTAGAAAAGATTATTGATAAGAGAATAAAGGATAACCATGTAGAATATCTACTTAAATGGAAAAATTATTCAGATGAAGATAATACATGGGAACCTGAAGATAACTTGGATTGCCCTGAATTGATAGAAGAATTTGAAAGGCTTAGAGATAAAAAAACAGTAAAGGGATCTAAAGAAGCTACAAAAAAAAAGTCACGACTGAGATCACCATCACCTACAAGCTCTGTTGATTCTGAAAAAGGCAAAAAACAGAAAGAAAAGAAGAGAAAGAGGTCCCTTTCTCCAACAGAATCCGATGTTCCTGAACCTAACATTAAATCAAGTAAGAAGTCAAAAAAAAAAACAAAACGGGAACAATCACCTGATACTTCAGATGAATCTGATGCTAAAATAGAAGTCAAAAAGGTATTCACATTAAGAAATAATTAGAATCAATTAATCATTAAATATTTTGTTTTAGAGTGCAGAACATAAAAGAAAAAGTAAAATTGATTCTGATGATTCAACTGAAGAGAGAATTAATAATAAACATAAAGAGGTTGAGCAAGAAGATGAAAATAAAAAGGAAGTTGAAAAAAAGAAGAAATCCTCTAGTGATATTGAAGAAAAGAAGGATAAGAAAAAGAAAAAATCAGATGCAGAAATAGTGATTAATAATAAAATTACAAAAAAGCCAATTGAAAAGAATGGATTTGATAAGGGTTACGAAGCTGAGAAAATTATTGGAGCTTCTGATACAACAGGAGAATTATTATTTTTAATGAAGTGGAAAGGCATAGATGAAGCTGACTTAGTACCAGCTAAAGAAGCTAATGTAGTTTGTCCACAAGTAGTAATTGCATTTTATGAGCAAAGATTAGCATGGCATTCACCAGATGAAGATTAATTTTTTTTAATTATATATACAAGTACCGTTCACTATGACTTCAATTCCAATGATGTCAAATTTTCATTCATTTTGACAAAAATAGTTATTGGGTTTTTTTCTAGTTTTCAGTTTATTTTTTTATTAAGTGATTTAATAATTAATTTAGTGATGATAATATTTTCGAATGTTTAATGGTGAAATTAAACATTCGAAAATATTATTCTAAGTTCAAAAGTTGTAATCCATTGTTTTAATTATTATATTCTCGTTATTTTTTATATATATAAAAAAATAAATCCTATTTGCTGACCAAACATGTGTTCGTAAGAAGAAATAAACAATAATATTTTTATACATAAGGATTAGAATGAACGAATAATATTTAATATTACTCACATTATTATAATTATTATATTAGTATAATTCGTTTATATCTTCATTATTTTATCCTTTTCAAACCCCGAATTAAAAAAAGTAATCTGATATTTTTCCTAAAAAAAAATGTTTTACGTTCAGTCAATAATCTGATTATGAAGTACTTTTACTAAAACATCGGTATACATCATATTTGGAATAAGTCCAACTTGATATACGATCTGTTTGGACTCGTCAAATGGTGCGCGCTTAATTCTTCGGTCGATGTAATTCAGATTTTGATAAGGGGACATCCTTAACCAAGTCCAAAGAGAAAATTTAACAAAATTGTTTGTTATATTTTTATATTACCTAATTGATTTTGTGAATTTTAGTATTGAGAAGTATTTACATTATTTTATGTCTGTTTTGCCTTTCTCTTCGGATTTCGACGTCAACACAAGTCTATGCAAATTTTCTAGGAATGCCAAAATGCATATGGAGTGAATGCGTTATCCCTTGTGACTATTTCCAAGTTGTTTCAAAGATTTCAGACCGGACATTTTGCTGTGGAGAACGAACCTTGTAAAGGTTGCCCGAAATCTTTGACCGATGATACAAATGTAGCCCTGGTGACGTCAAAAATTGACAAAGATCAGAGAAAGACACAGGAAATTGTAGTTGATGAAATGGGCTTGAATGTCATGGCTTTTTCGCAAATATTAATTCATCTGGCTACACGAAGATATCTGCTCGATGGATTCCACGTGTTCGTTTTGCCGAAAATTTTGAAAATGAAGATTCTGTCACCTTTAGGAAAATCGTATCAGATGATGAATCTTCCTTCTATAAGTACGACCCTGAAACCAAGCAGTCCATGGAAAGGTGCAAATCCCCCCAGTTAAATCAAGACAACAAAAGTGATGATATCGATTTACTTTAGCAATGCAAAAGTAGTATTAGTTGAAATAACCAACAACACCAACAGCTTTCTTGCGCTCTTTGGCATTAATGAAATTCATTCAGTACCTTATTATACCGAGGTAGAGCCTTGTAATTTCTGGTTGTTTCCGAAAATAAAAAATAATTGAAGAGTTTTCAGTTCCAATGAAGAGATCATTAATTAAAAGTTGAAAAGCTACATAAAGTCGATTTTGAGGAATGTTTAGAAAGATGACTCTACTGACTTAAGAAATGTATCGAAATAAATGGAAATTAAGTAGAGAAATTACAAAAGGATGAACATTAAAAATATTTAAAAAAAATGTATTTATTTTGTCTTTTTCCAGCAAACTTAGTGAACTTTTGTTAGACTTTTGTATATACTTTTGGTCATAAATGAGAAAGTATAGCAGTATCAAGTATAGTGCGGGTAATTGGTTAAACCCATGATATAAATATAGAAAGTACACCCATCGAGAAACTAAATACATTCGAAAACAAACCACACAAAGAGACATGACTGTACAAAGAAATTTTATTTTTTAAAATTTATTATTATATTAAACTTTTTACTAACGTGTATCTGTGTCGGGCGCAGGAAAAGAAGATCAGCGTTATTAATCTTTTTATACCTGCATCGGCAAAAATATGAGAAATATTTCGCGAACCGGTATAACCGTCTATTATATAGAAATTAAAAGCAATATATATATTAATAAATAAATAATTTAATATTATGAAATTATTCTTTTCGAAAATTTTAATTTAATTCATGTCATAAACCGGTAGAAGAACACTGCCCTACAGAAAGTATGGTATAGTGCTAGCTCTTGAGATCCATTTCATGAAGCCTGCTTGTTGTTCATTCATTCCAATAATTAGTAAAGGAACTAAATCTACCGATCTTTTATAACTTTTCCTGAAATATGCAAATAATGTTATTTATGAATTTGCTTATTAAAATCAATTTGACCGGTTGAAATGAAATTTCTATTTCCCTTCTGCAGGGACAATATTTCTAAAATTTGAATAAGTCTACGTGACTTGATTATTATTTTGTTAATATAGTAAACTTATTTTGTATTTCTTATTATTAATCATTGTCTCTTTGAATAAATTTTATTTTGTTTATTAAGAAATAATTTACTGCTGTTGATGAGATATTCATGATGAGATACATGATATAAGATACTGTAATTCCACTTTTAAAGGAACTTTTTTATGATAAAAATGAAATAACTATAAAAATAAAACAATGAACCTTCAAGCTCTGATTTTTTTACAGGTTCCGATAAAATAAGTATTTTGAAGGTAATGTATTTTCTCAAACATGACCGCTTTCAATTTGACGGTTGGTTACTGAGTGCAGCTAAAGTTTAGAAAAAAAGTATCTAAAAATGGACCTATTTAATACAACACATTTTTCATATATTCTATTTTAAATTATTTTCTCTTTAAACCATTTTATTATCTATTATATAGTTCGTTTTTATAATATTTATATAGTTAATATATGTAAAAATATATAAGAAAATAATAACACAATTTCACAGATTTTCTTCATATATGACTTTTATTTTATATGATGATTTTTTGTGAGAAAATAACTGATATAATGCAATATTTTCTTAATATTTCCATATTTCACTATCCACGGGATACACTTTCAATGCTAATCGAAACATAATAAAAACGACTTTCAAAACAGTTGTCCTTGCAATTTAATTATTGCTTTACATTGAAAACCTTCAGTACACAGCAAGCAATGATTCTAACAGCAGTTGCAATCCTATTTACACTAATTTTGACATTAGTTGTTGCATGGTACATTTTTTGGCTGGGTTCTACAAAGTATGTTCGACATATTTCAGGCCCAAGACCCGTTCCAATCATTGGAAATGCTTTAAGATTTAAAAATAAATCATGTAAGTTTTTTTTATATATCTCTTTTTGTCAATTATATTATATAATTTTAGGTTTACTTTCGTCTTTTATAAAAGTCACTAAAGAACATGGGGCTTTGGTAAAAATGATTGTAGGCTGGGAGCCAAGTTTGACTGTTTCAAATTATAAAACATTGGAAATAATTTTGAACTCAACAAAATTATCGCATAAAGCCACTCCGTATCGTTATTTTCATAATTGGTTAGGCCAGGGATTGTTAACTAGCAGCGGTGATAAATGGAGAAAACGCAGGAAAATTATTACACCCGCTTACCATTTTAAAATATTAGAACAATTTGTTAATGTTTTTGATAAAGTTAGTGACATCTTAGTTAACGAAGTTAGGAGGGAATGTAACAAACAATCTTTTGATATTTACCCGTACATAACATTATGCGCGCTCGATATAATTTGCGGTAGGTTAAGCAAGAAAAATGTATATTTATATTAATTGTGCATGTTTTAGAAACTGCAATGGGAATATCTGTTAATGCACAGGTAAATAAAAATTCTGAATATGTGCAGAGCGTGAAAAAAATGTGTAAAATAGTAATGGATAGAACATTTTCACCGCTTCAGTATTTTGATATACTTTATAGATTTACCAAAAACTATAGAGATGAAAAACGTTGTTTGAAAGTCTTGAATGAATATAATTTTGAAATAATTAGAAAACGCAGACAGGAATTAAAAAGTCGAGGAAATGAGAAAGAATCTGAAAACTTTGAAAAGAAAAAAGTCGCATTTTTAGATATGCTATTACAAGCTAAGATCGATGAGCAACCTTTAAGCGATGAAGACATTCGTGAAGAAGTGGCAACCTTTATGTTTGAGGTAATATTAACTTAATAAAATCGTTTTAAATTTACTATCAATGAGTATTTTAGGGACATGATACAACTGCATCAGCCATGAGTTTTGCTTTATTCGAACTTGCTAAAAATGTGGAGGTACAAAATAAAGTTTTCGACGAGCAGAAATGTTTATTCGCAGATTTTCCCGAACGAAGTGTAACGTATAAGGATCTGAATGATATGAAATATTTAGAGTTGGTGTTAAAAGAAACCTTAAGATTATATCCATCAGTTCCCTTTTATGCCAGACAAACAATGGAAGAAATTAATCTGAGTAACATTACATTGAATTTAATTACATAAATGCTAATACTAATTATTATATTTTAAGCGAACGATATTAAGCTACCAAAAGGTTTCATTATAAATATATTTGCATACGGAATTCATAGAGATCCACAGTTTTATCCGGATCCAGATTCATTTGATCCGGAACGGTTTTCACATGACAATAATACTGGAAAGTATCCTTATAGTTTTATCCCATTTAGCGCTGGCTTGAGAAACTGCATCGGACAAAAGTTTGCATTGTTGGAAATGAAAGCAACAATATCCAAGTTCATAAGAAAATATGAATTATTGCCTAGACATCCTGAACACCACTTACAGTTGATATCTGAAACGATCCTAAAATCAGCAAACGGCGTATACATTAAACTGATCGATCGAAAATGGCAATGATAGACATAATATGAAGATGTATAAATTTATATTTTATAACAATTATTTTTTCCTTATTAGGTTAAACATATAGTTGTTAGTTCATATTTGTTAGTTGCATATGTGTTTAGAAAATAGTAAATAAAATATCAATTCATCTTAATTATCTATTCAATTAAATATTTAATAATAACATAGTATAGTAATATATTATCACAATATATTACTATAAACAGGCCCAGCGCGTGTTCTTTTCTTGTCTGTGCGACAAATGCTTGGCCTACATTTTTTCAAAAATAAATAAATAACTGATATTATAAGTTCATTAATTGTACAATATCGTTATCAATTAAAATAATTCTAAAACCATTCAAGTTTTCTTGGATAATGTTTAAACGCAGGTAATTTTCAATTACTTTTAACTTGGCAAGGCCATCTTACTCTTAGTAACTAAAACAGGTAAAGTCAATAGAACTATCAATGCAATAAGTGTAATTGGGAAAAGTTATTCAAGGTTGTAATTATAAATCCACTTCAAAACCGTCTCTAGTAACGTCTTTCAGTTCTTTGTTCTCCAGTTTATCGTTTAATCATGTAATATTGTAAAAATATCAAAATGACGAAAATTTTGGATTTAAATATGATTTTTGCATCAATATAAAATCGTCTGTTAATTAAGCAAATTTTGAATCAAATAAATTTTCATTGGGTATGTTGGAAAGTAAATAGATAATTCTCAGAGAAATACAGAATGGCACATGGCCAAGGTTGTGGTTACGGTCACGGGGTTTGGGGAAATACAACAAGAGACAACATAAATTCGCTGACAATAAACGAAATTTAAAATAATAATGTTAGAAAATAACCCAAATATGTATTACAAATAACATATTCGCGATATGCCACATTTTGGCAATAATAAAATATTTTTGACCGTAAGAAATACATAAAATAAAAACCTTCCAGATTAAAAAATACAACTTAATTAAATTTTAACAACAATCATAAATTCTAAACAGGTAGTCAAAGGTGGTATCTGTTCTGGTATCGCTTATTTAAAATGGGGATTTGACCCTTATCTTTGTTCATGTGCATGTCGTTTAAAAAAATAAAAAATTATCTAAACTTATAACAAATGGTGACAAAAAAACAATTCAAATGCTCATGGTATCAACAAATATAATAAGATTACAGAATAAATAAGAATAAAACGATATTATCAAATTAAACAAAAAAACTCCTGAAACACTACAACTACAATATGCAAACTAATACAACATAAATCAAAGACTGCAGTACACGAGCACCAATAACAGGTAATAAAGTTAAAATGATTTTTATGTAATTTTGGCTGTGATTATGAAAGTGGTCAGATATTTTTTGTTTCAAGATCTATAAAGGTTTGAGTTTGAACAAATTAAAAAATATATTAAAATATTGGTGAAAATATACTTCTTATAAAATATACATTTTTATGATTGTGAAATTTTGTGTGAAATGTAATTTTTAATAACTCCGATTTAAGTTATTAAGTTTTTGAATATGGATCAAAAAAAGATCTTAAAATTATTAGAAATAAAAAGTTAAAAAAAAGTCTTCATTTCTTCGGAAATTCGATTTTGAATTTTAGTATTTTTTAAGTAAATTGGCAATATGTAGGGTCATAATCACCAGCACATAAATATTTAAAATTACTTAGGCGCCGTAACAAAGAAGGCGATTATTCTTTGTTACGGCGCCTCGGAGATTGCGTGCTACTAGCCCTAATCATATTTTTCCATGTTCCGCATCAGTCATTGTATAGAATCCCGTCATTATTCATTTTGTACGTAATTATTAGAAATACATATGTTAGTCTTTTCATATGAATTACTTAAATTATTTTTTACTCATAATAAGAATTTTATAGTCTCAATTCTTAATTGTATACGTATGCAACATAATTTATGAAGAACCTTGTGCGTAAGTAGTAGGTTTATGTGTATACTTTTTTTTTGCAGTATACAGAAAAAAATATTTTTCCTAAAAAGGGGGATTTTTTAAAACTTCGCGGGACCTTACACATACAGCAATACCTTGCATAGTTTGGTTTGAAAACAAATTAGATTTTAATTGAGTAAAATTAAATCTAAAAAAAATAGAATACATTTATTTATATATAAATGAACGTTTTATCCTTTTATACACTTATGTACATGCAATTATTATGTCGGTAATATTAAGTCAACCCGTCGCGAGCATCGACCGCAGCAATATGCCGTCCACCGACAAGCAAGGAACTTACAAAGCAAAACGAGTGACGCGTAAGAACAAAGGAATCGTGCTCTTAGCCTTAGCCTTCCTCCACATAAATCTCCAAACCAGGACTCTCATATAACACCCACGCCTTCCACGTCGTTGCAGCGCTCCGCTGTCGAATCCCCACCAATCTCCTCCGTCGCCTCCCGCAACCATCCATCTCCGGCTTCACCATCGAGTAACTACAGAAGCAACGCTCCTCCAGCAACAACCGTCCGATCCTACAAGTGGAGAGTGGATAATATCCCACCCAAAGAATCAAATCTCCGATATTTGACCCAGCTACTCAGATCATATGAGTTTGTACTCACCTTCCGCAAGGCGCCAGAGGACTTGAAAGTGAGAGGCACCACGGCTTTCATCACCACAACCGACGCAACATTTGATGACAAACTTAATAACTTCCCGGACGACTTGGATATCCAGTGGTAATCACCTCCATCAACAACCGTCCTCGTAGCGAACTAGGACCAGCCCAACCTACACGTAAGCGCCTTTCCTATTCAAGCGTCCTCAAGGGATTGAAGAGTTGTCGGAGACGCTGAAGGAAGCGGGAACTAGCAGCCCCCCTCAAACTCGCCAGCCGTCCAGTCGACTCCAGAGTGGAATGGATCAGCGGATTGGTCAACGCCCTCCTCAACGGCTTCCCGCAAGCTCAAGAACACCTTTACAGGATCCTTCCGGAGGCCATCTTCCACTCGACGGGCAGAAGGATGCACATCTTCAGCAGCAGCCAGTACATCCATATCGTACTGGACGCCGACCCAGGTCCCCCACTACCACAAACAACTTCACCGTGGCAAAAATAAATATTGCAACAGCCAACATCAACGAATGGCGAAACAAGAAGGAGCTGCTGTCTGATCTCAGGAGCTTTGTCAATGACAAAATTGGAGTCCTCGCCATTCAGGAGACCTTCACTACTAAGCGCAACACACTGAAAATCCCCACCCATCGGATTTACCAAAAACACAGTGAACCACTTTCTGGTAGAGTTGCCATTGCAGTAAATCCCTCCAGAACTCATGACTTTTTACGATTTAAAGACTTTTATTTGTGTAAATATGCAATACAGAGAATGGTAATTGTTAAGGGGTGGCGTATATGTGAGCTTGTCGCTCATTTAGCCAGAAAATATAAAATATATACATGATGTTTATAAGATAGAAAAAAATTAAAAAAAACTTAGTTATTATTGAATGTGCTTATAAGTTAGCTGAAATATGAACAGTGGTGTATGATACGTAACATAGACATTAAGTTAGTTGGCAGGGTTTGGTTGGGGGAGGTTTGGGTCTGGGTGGAGGAACATGGGTTTGATGGTGTTTAGGAAGTGAGTTATGTCGGAGTCGTCATGCGGGGGTGCGTTGTGGGCGAGGACTGCCAGTGGGAAGGGGATTTTGTTTTTGGGTTTGCGGGTGCAGGTGGAGATTGGTGGGCGGGTGTATAGGGTGCGGGTGTTGTGGTTCAGGGAGAAGGTTTTGGCGGCATGTCGGCCTTGAAGTTTGTAGATGAAATCGGGGATTTTGGGGAGTGAGGCTAGGTCATGGAGGTACGCGCTGGAGTGAAGGTAATGTAGTTTAAGGATTTTACGGATGACGTTTCTCTCAAAGCTGTAAATTCGCTGAAGGCTTGATTGGGAAGCAATTGAGTGGATGGTGGAGGGGTAGGTGAGGACGGGGCGGATGAACGCTTTGTAGGTGTGGAACAGGGTTTTGGGGTGGCAGCCGACGAGGGATGTGCGGAGGCGGATTATTAGGTTTAGACGCTGTTTGGCTCTGCGGATGGTTTGTGTTATTGTGGGAAGCGGGTTAAGCGTGTGGGAGAGTTGGATGCCTAGATAGATAATACACCATGTTTCGTTGAGGGTTACGCCCCAGAGTTTAATGGATATGTGTGTGTCGCGGAATCGATGAGTTCGCGGGTGTCGGAAGCCGATTAGTTGCGAATTTTGGGGGTTGGGCTTGTCGCGCCATTTTCTCATCCATTTTTCCAGCTTGTTGCTGGCATCCTGGAGTGTGGCTATCGCTTGCGCGGGACGGCGATGTGAGGACCAGATGGCAGTGTCGTCGGCAAACTGTTGGAGATGGCATGCTGTTAGTATGGGGGCGGGGATGTCGCTGCAGAAGATATTAAAAAGCATTGGAGAGAGGATGACTCCTTGGGGGACTCCCGCATTGAGGATGATCGCTTGGGAAAAAGCTGAATTAATTTTTACTGTGGCGGTTCTGTTCTGGAGGTAGTGGTGAATGATTTTTATGATGTACTGTGGGAATTTGGCGTCACCAAGTTTTTTAAATAGACCGTTGTGCGACACGGTGTCGAAAGCACGATGAATATCAATAAAGAGGGCTGGGGAGTATTGCTGGGAGTTGCATGCATTGGAGAGATGTGCGGAAAGGTTGAGGATGGCATGCTGCGTGGAGGTTGCTTTGGTGAAGCCGTACTCATGAGGGGGAATGATGTTGTTGGCTGTGCAGTGGTCGCCAATTCTTTTGGCAATGAATTTTTCAAATAGCTTACTGATGACCGGTAGGAGGGAGATGGGGCGGTAGGAGCTTGGGAAGGATGGGTCTTTTCCGGGTTTGTTAAACATGAGTACAACGGCTTCTTTCCATGAGCGCGGGAAGTGCCCTTGCGTTAGGCATGCGTTATATATTTCTTGCAGCCACTCGATGGCCGATTCCGGAAGTTTCCGGATCAGCACCCAGGTGATGCCGTCTTTGCCCGGTGCGGTGTTTTTCCTCTGGTATGCGATGGTTTCGGCGATCTCTTCGGCTGTGATGGGGTCGGCGACTGGTAGTCGGGAGTCTGGGAGCTGTAGACTGGACACCTCGTCGTTGATGGCCCCATGGAAGGGCTCGTCAAACAGCTGATCCTCTAGTCGGCTGCTTTCCAGTAGGGCGTTGGCGAAGACTTCCGATTCTTCCGCGTCCGTTAGCGGTTTTGTGTCCGCTTGTAGTGGGTATTTGGGCGGGGGTTTTCTGCCGGTGAGACGGTTTAGTAAGGCCCAGAATTTTCTACCGTCCCTGTAGTCCAGTGTCGCCGTGATGTTCCTCCACCCCCTCTCTCGATGCTCCCTGATCTTCCTTCTGGTGACTGCGACCAGCCAGTTCCAGGTGGTGCGGATGACCGGATCGTTCGTCCTTCAGTGTACGGTAGTCTTCTTTTCTCCCGGACAAGATGCATGATGTCGGGTGGTAGCCCTGGAGGTCGCGGTTTGTAGATCCTAGGGATTGTAGGGCACGTTGTCTTCAATGGCCGTTTCGATGAAGGTAGTGAGTTCAGAGGCTCGGTGTTCGAGCTCTTGGGCGTTGGTGATGGGTTCTGGACGGCGATCAGTAGCTCGTTGCACCTGTGCGACGAGGTCCTCCCATTTGGCATGGCTCCAGGCTCGCATCGCCTCGGGAAGCGGGAACTGCTGGAGTGCTGCTTTTCCAACGACCGGGAGATGGTCGCTTGCGAGGGGGGCCTTCGATGACGGCGTCTGGGAGCAGATCGTCAACCAGGTCCTCGGTGAGGATGATGTGGTCAATGATAGAATGGCCGTTGTGGTTGATGAGGGTCGGATCCGTGCACCCAAGACGTATCAGGGGCAGGTGTCCAGCAAGCAGCAGATTCTTCCCGTTCGTGTTGGTGGCGTGGTCTCCAAAGTCGGCGTGGCGGGCATTTAGATCGCCTAAAACAATTTCTGGAGGGTTTTGGGCGGCATAGCGGCGAAAAGAGATTTGGAACTAACGAAGATGGTTCGGCCGCGTATTTTGATAGTCTCGGCCTCCCGGTTGAAATTCATCCGAAACTCGTTGGTTACAAGCATTTTAACCATGTACCTGTGGTTAGTGGCCTCCGCTGGTAGCCCGTCGATGCGCCATTGGAAGGTGCGGGGACTGGTCGGAAGACTTGCTGGCCTTGGTGATCCGTGGTGAAGGCGGAGTGGTCGGCCTCGAAGAGAGCGATGCTGGGGGCCTTTGTAAAGGCGGTGTGGTCGGCCTCGGAGTTGCGGCGGTCTTTGTGGCCGACGATGCAGCGTCTTTGCGGGTTGGTGGCGATGTTGGGGGCCTCCGAGAAAGCAATGTTGGGGGACTTGGAGAAGGCGATGTTGACGACGCTATTAGGCACCTCCGAGTTGCGGCGGTCTTTTTGGCCGAGGGTGCAGCGGCTTTGCGGGTTGGTTTCGATGTTGGACCGGTGGTAGTTTTGAGGTAGCTGGATTGTGCTCTCCTACTGCGGTCGGCCATTGTGTTGGTCCGGGTCCGTTGGGTTCGTGAGCTGTATCGTTACGGATGTTTATCCTTGGGGATGGCCCCACACGTGGGGGAAGGGAAAACAATAGTACTGGGTGACAACTGAACTGAACTCTAATAACACTGCACCATAAAAATATAAAGAACAATATTCTGAAACAAAGGAGCTGGAGTTAACATAACCTCACTTGATGTTCATGCGCGCGTGCGTCGGTGATTAATGTCTCATGACTTACCTCCTGAACACAATTTAACTAACACTGTAGCTGCTACCATTCTCTGGAATGGAAAAATTGTCAATTTTTCTGTGTTTATAATTGTGCTCAAGATCGACTCCCAGCCTCCTTCTTCAGGTATGACTCCAACAATTCTCCAGCCATCATATTAGGAGACCTAAATGCCCGACACGTCGACTTTGAAGACACGCGATCAAACACAAACTGTGTAATTCTGACCAGTCCTCAGCGAATGCGCCTTAATCCGGATCCGATTCCCAAATCCCACATACATCTCCACCATGGGTAAGTCTATCATCGACCACATCATCGTCACGGAGGACCTGGCCGGCGACTTCGAACCAGAGGCTATCGTTGGTACACCAGTGGCAAGCAACCACCTTCCAGTAGTCGCCATTGCTGCCGCTCCACCAGACCCGCTGCTTGTCAAACGGATTTGAGATTGGAGGCATGGAAACTGGGCAGCCTCCCATATCAGCGATGACACTACAACCCCTCTCGGAATACTACGTTCCACAGAAGACGTCGACCTAGCTGTAGCCAAACTTAATAATACAATCAACGACTCCATCGAAAATAATGTTCCTGTAATAATCTCCACGCATCGCCCTCCTCGTCTCCCCCAATCAGTGCTGGCGCTCATTCGGGAGAAGAGAAGGTTATACAGAAATATTAAAAGGAATGGTGATCCTACACTACGTACTGAGTTCAATGCTGCGCTGGTCAGAAGGAGGGTCTCTGGACATCGAGAGAGGTCCTGGACTGAGGTCACCTCCCTCGACCACAGAAATGGATCCAAGTTCTGGTCCCTGTTTGGTCATCTCACCTCCAGGCGCCCTGCCTGCAGCTACCCATTTAAAGCTGATCCTACTCCAATTACACCTTTGGAGAAAGCAGAAAATTTTGCCAAAGTCTTCCGAGTTTCAACCCAACTTGATGATCCTCTCTTCGATGAGGAATTCAGGAGGGAGGTTGATGAAGTAATGGATTCTCGTCCCCGTGGCCTTCATAGGATGCCGGACTCCGAGTGCATCACTTTCGATGAGTTGTCCGATGTTGTGTCGTGTTGCAACAAAAACTCCTCGCCGGGAAATGACGGCATTACATGGAGGATAATTATAAAACTCCCAGATCCTGCACTCCAATGGTTGCTCTCTATCTACAACGCCTGCCTTCGGATTGGATACTTTCCTGGTGACTGGAAGCGTGCCAACATCCTCATGATCCCCAAACCAGGAAAAGATCTTACTTCACCGGAATCATACCGACCCATCTCTTTACTGCCGGTCTTGGGAAAACTGCTTGAAAAACTAATACACAAAAGGATCCTCAATCACTGTGCTGAACACCACATCATTCCAGAACATCAATATGGCTTCACCAAACACACCTCAACTCAACACGCTCTACTGAACCTGTCCACCCAGCTAGTCAACAACATCAACTCCAAATTCTACTCACCAGCACTTTTCCTCGATATTCACCTAGCGTTTGATACAACGGCTTGTTCTTGAAGATGGAGAGAGACAACTTCCCGCAATATCTAATCGAACTCATACAGAGCTACTTGAAGAAAAGAAGCGCTGCAGTCAAGATAGGGTCGACGCTCTCGGAGGCGGTGTGCATTGATGTCGGGGTCCCTCAAGGCACTATTCTCTCTCCGACACTCTTCAATATATACTTTGCTGACATTCCCACCCATGATGATGATTCCACTCAATTACAACAGTACGCCGATGATACGGTCATTTGGTTTTCACACCGGATCCCTGCCATTGCTATCGAATCCCTTCAAGAGGCCTGCCGGCGGCTGGAGTTATGGATGAGAAGGTGGAGAAGCAGAAGATTCAAAGACGTCAGATTGGGGATCAACCTTTGGAATGTCGACATCGAAGAATCTGACACCACTAAATATCTCGGCATCTTTCTTCATCGGAGCCTCAATCTATGTACGCAAATAGTAAACATTCTTAAAACAGTTAAATCTCTCTAAATTTCTCTAAATGTGTACTTTATCTTTAAATCTGTTTCTCTAAAATGTCTATTTATGTTCAAAATCTCTTCCTGTTTAAAGAATGTTCTGACTTACTCTACAAATGTGTGCTTCTTATCCTTATAATGTAATTTTTTTTTATCAAAATCTGTAACCCACAAACTCCATGCTGAAAGAGCTTAGGCTTAAGTAGTATGACTACTTATGTAAAACTCAAATATGTAACCCATTTCACATATAAATAAAAACATTTGAAACTTCCTAATATTAATTACACAATATTAATTATATCATTAGTACAGAAAGACCTCTAATCAATTGCCATTTGCAACAGTTGAATTTTATTTTAATTATTGTATTCAGTTATTTTCCTATTTTGTAATTTATTGTTACAATAACTATTATTATTTATATCGAAATTATATTTAAATTAAAAAAAACATAAATGTATACACAAATTTATTTATTAAAAATATATTACATATATGAAATTCATTATTTTATATTTTAATACCGATTTTCTAAACGTACCAAAATACCGTTAGCTGACTTCAAAATAGTTTCTGCGACGAGATCCAACTTATGTGCAGGGATAACAGGATGTAAAATGAAATTTTTAACGACCTTCGAAATTGTAGATTTCATTTCCAAAATTGCGAATTTTTGACCTAAAATAGAATAAATACTTAAAATTAGTATGTAGATTAAAACAAGTAAATAATTATTACCAATGCAGTTCCTGGCACCTGCGCTGAACGGAACATAAGCATATGGGTTAGTTCCTGTCGATCTGTCTGGAGAAAATCTTTCAGGGTCAAATTTATAGGGATCTGGATAATATTCTGGATTATAATGAATGCCGTAGATGAACAGATTGATTTGAGTTCCTTTTTTGAATTGGAGGTCATCAGCTGGAAAAAATGAATTTGTATACTTGAACTTCTTTTTATGTTAAATACTTACAGTATTTACAATCTTTCGCAATCGATCTGCCAAAGAAAGGAACTGATGGGTACATTCTAAGGGTTTCTTTAATAACCATATCCAAATATTTCATTTCCTGGAGATCTCTGTGTGTTGGGATACGATCAAAATCGTCTCCAAATACAAGTTTATGTTCCTCAATGATTTTATTTTGCACATCATAATTTTGTGCTATCGAATATAAAGCAAAACTAATAGCAGATGTTGTCGTATCGTGCCCCTAATAAATGCCAATAAATTATATAATAAACAACTATAAATTTATACTTTACCTCAAACATGAATGTGTCGACTTCTTCTCTAATATCCTCATCAGTCAGAGGTTTCCCGTCTATAGATGATTGCAGTAGGAGATCTAAGAAAGCAAAACGTTTTTTCTTTCCCAAATCATCGGCTTCATTATTACTCTCATTTTCAATTTGATTTTCAATTATCGTTTCGCGACGACTTTTAATTACAGACATTGTGTAATCATGAAGAACTTTTAAAGCTTTCTTCTCTATCAGATAATTTTCATGGAAGCGATAGTAGAAATCTCTTCTTTGCAGAGCAGAAAATGACCTTTCAACAACAATTTTGCACATCTTTTTTACACTTTGAACATATTCTGTTTCTTTATTTAGTTGAGCATTAACCGAAGATCCCATGGCAGTTTCTAAGAATTATAATAAAATATAAATATATTTGATATATTACATTTTGGATCTTAATTTACCACAGATGATATCCAAAGCACATAATGTTACATGGGGATAAATATCTGTAAAGGATTTCCCAACTTCTTGTCTCAACTGCTGTACAAGAATGCTGGCATTTTTATCAAAGGTTTCTATAAATTGATCTAAAATTTGAAAATGGTACGCTGGAGTAATCATTCTCCTCCTCTTCTTCCATTTTGTGCCACCGCTCGTTAAAAGACCCAATCCCAACCACTTATGAAAAAATCTATATGCTCTCGCTTTGTCGTTAGCTACTGTCGTACTGAAGAAAAATTCTAACAGTTTATAATCAGAAACGACAAAAATTACATCGAAGCCCATTATCATCCTAACAAAACCTCCATATTTTTGTTGTAATTTTATTTGGTAAGGTAAGAAAGCTAAGTACAGACAAAATTAATTTTATACTTTGTTATTATTTTTTACTTACAATTAGATCCTTTGAATTCCAAAGCATTGCCCAATATTGGAACCGGTTTTGGTCCAACGCAATTTTTGATACCTTTAGTATAATAATACCAATTTATGTACCAAAGAGCTATAATGGAAGCGACGAATGTCGCCATTATTACAATTGCTGTAACGATCATTTTGAATCATTTAAACTACAAGTGCTGGTGCTTGACACACCTCCCAGTATTTATATATGTAAATCGGATGGTCATTTATCTATATATTGATAAATGCTCATATAATCTTCCAAACATTGCAAAATAAAATTTTAAAAAGGAAAATATGTTTATTATGTATACACGCTCTTTGTGCCTTATTTCGATTGATAATATTGTTTATGTTTTCTACTGGCTGAAGATGTGGGCTTGTCTGTCTGGGTATTTAGAGGCCGGTGTTCCGGTTTGACATCATCAAGAGATCGAAGTCCAGTATATGTGCCGGAATACCGTTTATGTTTTATTTTATTTAGCACACATATATTGATTACATGGATTTTTTTAGAATTTATCTGCATAAATACTCCATGCTCATTATTTATTAAATAAATATTTTCTTAATACATGTGTTTATTTTGTCTTACTCATATAATAAAAAGTAATTCATATAGTGTTACGATTTATATTTTACAATTAATTCAATAACCTAAGACAATACCTTCGTAAATATCTAATTGATAATTACTATTTGATTTTTTTAAAGTTATTAATATTATTATAACTGTGTGACGATAATGATATTTAAATATAGTGTTTCGTATTTTTTTTTAATTTATTAGCTATACTGTTGAACAATACAAGTTATTCTTGTTTTAGAAACTTTGATCATAAGATAAGGCCATTTCTCAAATTGTGCTATATATATTTGCATTGGATTTATTATTTTTTTCTATTTTTTTGTGTACATTACATATAACTTCAAAGATGAACGTTTACCATTGCCTATTTTCAATTCCTACGAAAACACCATTTCCTGATTTTAAAATGGTTTCCGCTCTTAACAATATTTTATGATGGGGAACTACTGCATGCAATTTGTAGTTTCTAATCACCTTTGATACGGTGCACTTCATTTCCAACATTGCAAATTTTTGACCTAAATTAAAAGTATATTTAGAAAATAATAATATTAACATATAATGAAAACTATTTACCGATACAATTGCGCAAGCCAGCGCTGAATGGAAGGAACGAGTAAGGCAATTTTCCATCGAAGTTTTCTGGTAAGAATCTGTCTGGATCAAACTTCTCTGGTTCAGGGAAGTATTTCTCATTCATATGCATGCCATAAACGAACATGTCAATAGTGGTACCCTTTTTAATTATTATGTCATCGGCTAAAATTATTGCAAAAAATAAATATTCATTATAAGTTTCCTTTCAACGAGCATACAATATTTGACGTCCTCGGCGCATTCTCTGGCAAAGAAGGGAACGGACGGACAAAGACGTAAAGTTTCTTTGATGCACATTTCTAAATACTTCATTTCGGTCAAATCGGAGTAGGAAGTTGATCTGTTAGGTTCATCCCCAAATATAGATTTTTGTTCTTCAATCACCTTTTCTTGGGCATCTGGATTGTTAGCAAGGAAATAAAGTGCAAAACTCATTGCAGACGCAGTAGTATCATGGCCCTAATTAAATATCGTATTGTTGTTTATATTCATATTTGCATTTTCATATATACTATACCTCGAACATAAATGTATCAACTTCTTCTCTGATGTCTTCATCGGAGAGGGGCTGTCCTTCAATTGTGGATTGAAGTAACATGTCCAAAAATGCGACTCGTTTCTTTGCTCCAATATCATCAGTATCCACCTTCTTGTTTTCTTGTTTGTTGACAAGAGCATCTCTCCTATTTCTAATAACTGACAGAGTATAATTGTGAAGGACTCCAATCGCTTCTTCTTCTTTGCGGTAATTTTTGTTGAAACGGTAAGTTAATTCAGTCTGTTGACTTGGGTGGAAAGCACGGTCGGTGATAATTCTACACATTGTTTTCACGCACTTTACATACTTTGAATCTTCGTTAATCTGGGCATTCACGGATGTTCCCATCGCAGTTTCTAATATTTCATTAATAATTAACAATTACTGTAAACCGGAGTAAATGTATAGTTACCGCAGATGATATCCAATGCACACAATGTTACGTAAGGGTAAATATCTGTAGACTTCTTTCCAACTTCCTTCTTAATTTTTTCCAATAAGATGACCCCATTTTTATCAAATACTTCGATGAACTGTTCAAGAATATTGAAGTGATATGCTGGAGTAATCATCCTCCTTCTCTGCTTCCATTTTCTTCCTTTGCTTGTAAGTAAACCAAATCCAAGCCACTTGTGCATATACCTGTAAGATCTACTCTTCTCGATAATTTTGGTGGAACTCAAGAAGAACTCAAGCATTTTGTAATCGGTTACAATTAAAATAAATTCAAAACCCATCATGATTTTCACAATCCCATTATACTTCTCCGTAAGTTTTTGTTGGATGGGCAGAAAAGCTTAAATAATAAATTTGTATTGACATTATAATGAATTCATACGAACTTACTGTCTGAATCTCCAAATTCCAATGCATTTCCTATAAGTGGTATTGGTGTTGGTCCATCAATTTTCTTCAAATGTTTATTGTACCACAAATATGTGTAATACCAATAAGCTACAAGAAATATAAGACCCCCCACCAATATAGTAAATATTTCCAAGATCATCGTGTGTTTAGGTATTAGTCCATTACTAAATAAAATTTATTCGTCACTTGACTCTAGCTTTTATATAACAACAATATCTGCTAATTGTAATAGATAACACGTACTCATTTCCGATCAATTGAGATTATAGTATCTTATAATTTCAATTACATCAGTTTACTACATAGTAGTTTCTTGTTAAGATAACATAAAATCGAAAATTATATAATCCACCAAAGAAATAGAACAGTATTTTCTAAGATCTAAATTACATATATTAGATAGTATGTAACCTTAGAACATTGACTTTTAAAAATGTTAAAAGAATAAATCCAATTTGATAGAATAATAAAATAATTTAATTTCATAGATTTTAAAGGAAATATAGTTTTTCTTAAATATTTATTTCCAATTTAGTAACAGATGTTTGAATTCTGACATGGCGCCCTTATGCACAATTTGCACACCTAGTTGCGGCAGCCCTAATTAAGGATAAAGTAAAATCCAAATTATATTATTATTGAGCAACATTTAATTCATTTTAATTATTGAAATTAAATAATTAATTTAGCGTGTTATGTTTGAAATCATTATTATCTTATAGACACAACAGACCTAAAAAACAAGTTGGTTCATACACTTGATTTATATATCAGAGATAAACACTATATATTTAATATATAGTCCAATTCAATAATCAATGGTATACGAGATAAGCGTTGATTTTTTTTTAATGTTTCAAAATTGAAAAATGTAGTTGAACATTTTCTTTCTAATTTTTTTTAATAAACGTTATAAAATATATGTTATGGTAGTGACATTATGACACGCATACAGTGTCTACAATTTTTCAAACTTTGTTAAAACGTTTTGTGGTTTAAACATATACAATTAAATATCTGTATATAGAACAATAATTAATATTTAATTTAAAGCCAGATTTGTTGAAATTATTATAACAGATATTTCTTTTTTTGCTCTTAAAAGAAACAAAATAAATATAAATTTCAATAGTGCTGATCCCATAAGCAAAGCAAGTAATTGTTGATTACAATATTGCAAGACCCATCTATAATTATATGCGCAGCTACATACGGAAATACCACATACGCAAAATACAAATTAGACTATCAAGATATGAGCGATCTGTTCACTTATTATTTAATACATAGAGCATTATATAATAATCGAACAGTTATTTTTAAATTATCATAAGATATTAAATATAGAATACAATTAAGTTTGAGTTAAGATTTAGATTATTAAACTATGTTAGTGTTGAATTATGTGATATAATAATATTTATTCTTTTATTATGTAATATTAAAAATATATTTATCGACCCTCGGCCCCTCTCATGTATTTTTTATGCTTTAGATTACTTTCTTGTAAGACAAAACGGATGTGATAAGGGATATGTTTATTAATAGTAACATACAATCTGATAAATGACGTTACGTTCTCATTCATTGTATAGTATAAAATCGGTGGCAATCGCAAGCCCGACAACCGAAATCCTGTCTATCAAAATCCCGATGTTTGAAATCCCGAGTGTATTGAAATCCTGACGTTCAAAATCCCGAGTGTATCGAAATCCCGACTATATCGAAATCCCGACTATGTCAAAATCCCGACTATATCAAAATCCCGACAATCTAAAACTTAAGATTATTAATTGTTAATAACATAAACTAATTTTATTATAGAATATTACTTATTCTTAAGTTTTATAATGAATAAGTCAACGAAAAAAAAATACAATAATAATTAAAATTATTTATTGTTATTAAGAATAAATAACAACAATTAATAATCTGGCAAAAGAGCCATCGACCTAGGTCTTAAAAATATTTTTTTCAGTATCCATCGTACCTATTAAAATATAGTATAATAATAAAAGACACTGTCGGGATTATGCTAGTCGTCGATTTCGATATATTCGGGATTTTGATTGTTGGGATTATGGTAGTCGGGATTTCGATACACTCGGGATTTCGAACGTCGGGATTTCAATACACTCGGGATTTCGAACATCGGGATTTCGATACACTCGGGATTTCGAACATCGGGCTTTCAATAGACGGTCTTTCGGTTGTCGGGCTTGCGATATAGACACTATAAAATATGTTTTTCTATATTATTGTCGTAATAACAAGTGTAACTTAGGTAAATCGAGTATACGTATACGAGTAAACATCCTTCCTGTACCTTTCTCAATATTTAATTTTTACCATTTATATTTTAATTTGTGCAAATAATTTTCAAATTAATGTGGTTTATATAAATATAATGTTTTAAGTTTGTGAGTGTATTATTTACCCTAAAGTGTTTTACAATTTAAAATGTTATGTATTGTAGTTCTGTCAATGTTAGATAGTAGAGGTACGAAAATAACTGGCCACCAACTTCTTTCAAAATCATATCATCATCTTCGTTTAGTAACGTTTATGTTTGCGAAAACCGGCTTTCGTTCTTTCGTAATCATATGTGCATGATTCGTGCTGTAGACAAAGTTCATGTGCAATCTTCGAAGAGAGGTTTCCGCAAAATTGTTTGACCTATCGATTCCTTTTATTTTTATTAAACTTAATATTAATTAATGGCGGAACTTCAAATCTTTGTCTCTCCCGCAAAATGTTATTCAGGCCTCTAAGGAATTTCAGGAATTTTTAAGTAGCGACACAAATTTGTATTTGAGGTCACTCTTGATTTAAAATACAGAAAATCATAAAGCCCCAAACAAGTTACAAAAAAAATACGAAGGTTTGTTCTCTTAGGGCCACATTAAAAAAGTTGTAGACCCCAGCAGACAGCAGTTAGTTTTAGTATTTGAGGGCCCTAAATGATTTTTTTATTAGGCCCCCCTGTAGATCCGGATCCCACCGTATTATTTGGTACAGCGGCATTAAAGTTCCGCCACTGATGTTAATACAAATAGTTATAGACTATTTGGTTGATCAGATTAAAATCTTTATAACTGATATATCTATATCAGTGATTCCTAAAATTTTAGGGGGTAAAATTAATAATTTATACTTGGTACATTATTAAGGAAGGGGATAATTTTCCTGACAATTATCCTAAGAGAGGAAATGAGGACAAATCGTCCTTATACCCTAACCAGAAAAGACTCACGTAGACATAAAATTCTATAGACCTAAAAGTCTACTTCCAATAATATCAAAATTGTTTGAAAAATTATTAATGAATAGGCTCAACAATGTGCTAATACTAAATTACCGATTTGGATTTCGTTGTCAAAACGGTACCATCGAGCAAGTTAATAGAATGGTAGATATAATTAGCCAGGACCTGGAAGAGAATTGTTCAGGCACATTCTTAGATGTATCGCAGGCATTTGACAAAGTGTGGCACACGGGACTGCACTATAAATTAAAGAAGATTTTACCATACAACTTTCATAAAATAATACAAAAATAATACATATTTGACTGGAAGATTATTTCAAGTGAAATATTCGATACGGTGAAGAATTTGTATCCAATCACGTCAGGTGTATCGCAAGGTAGCGTGTTAGGACCTATCCTGTATATACTATATACCGCAGATATGCCCTTAACGGACAAAACAACTGCTGCAACGTTTGCCGATGATACTGCAATATTATCAGTTGATGCATACTGAGCAGTTGCATCACGTCACCTGCAAGTAAACCTGAACATAATACAGGAATGGCTACAAAAATGGAGAATAAAGGTCAATGAATCGAAATCAGTACATGTCACCTTCACCATGAGAAAGGACTCATGCCCACCAGTGACGCTTAAAGGAAAAATAATACCGTCGGCTAATAAAGTTAAATATCAGGGTATGCATATGGATAGAAGATTGACCTGGAAGGATCACATCCAAGCAAAAAGAGAACAACACTAAATTAAGTTCAGGAAATTCTACTGGCTATTACGGGAAGACTCTCCAATTTCGAAAGAAAACAAGTTGCTGATCTATAAAATAATTTTAAAACCTGTCTGGACATACGGAATACAGCTATGGGGAGTCAGCAGCAGATCTAATATTGCGACCATACAAGATTCCAGTCGAAGAGCCTAAGATGGATCATTGGTGCTCCATGGTATATTACAAACAACAGAATTCATGAGGACCTTCAAATGGAAACAGTAGAAGAAACAATTACGAAAAACAGTAGCCGATACCAAAATAGACTAGACAGACATCCAAACGTATTAGCTGTCAATCTTCTGGATAATAGACTAACAACATAGCTACTGAAGTGACACAAGCAACTGGACCTACCCTACCATACCCAACCGCCAGATCATTTACTGAATGTTTTTATTATAGAACAGTAGTGTTTTTTTTTTCAACTAAAACCCGTTTTTTTGAGCCTAGACTTAAAATATAAAAATTAATGAATTGTTTTAATTAAAAACATAAGAATCATGACACAAAATCGTCTCTGTTACGTGAATTGAAAAAATGAAAACTGAAATTATATGTAATGTTTTAGTTTAATTTTAAAATAAGTTATAAGAGATGTGAAGATATAAGACAGGCGAATGACTAGGATAGTTACGCGGTCGTCGCTTTGACCACCCCTGATATACAAAGTATTATCATGAAAGAAAATGGTTGGCAATAACTACCAAATGAGCAAATGTGTTGTCGGTGTTCTTTTTGTCCGATTACCCTGTTGCTCATGTTTCACTAAGATACGTAAGTACTTGCCAATGTCGCTAACTTGCTTGTATATCCAATTATCTGTTTGTACACATTGCGCCATTATATTTTTAATGATAAGTCCGTTTTCAAATAACGCAAAATATTGGCAGAACCGTATAAATTAAAGGTTACATTTTATTAATAACCAATGATAAAAAGAAATATACTACATATATAATAGAAAGCAATTTTACAAGATTTTGTAATATCTTTTTTAATTGGTTTTAAATTTTTACACTTTTGTAATTAAAGTTTGTTTACTTATTGCCAAATTTTCTTCATTATCAACAATAAACCATTAAATGAAAAAAAAAAACAATAATAAGAATAAAATTCAACTGCTACAAAGGGCTATTGACCATATCTACTAATATTAATAGATCTGCTTTTTTTCTGTATTGCAATAAATTCCATATTTTTAGTGTTAGGAACAATGTTAAGACTAAAGCAGCCTCTATATCGATATTGCTATAATTTTAATCGTAAATCTGCTGCAAATTCTATATCCAGCCATGATTTTAACACCGTGTCGAGAAACAAAAACTTGTGTTAAAATCGAGAATACACTTTACTATCTATTAAGGAAGTAAACACGATATCTAGATCAGTGGTACATACTAGTGTTATAAATTATTTGATTATTGGTGATAGTAGTAATTCTCAAAAACTTTATCCTCGAAGAAGTGGTTTTGTTCTAGAAAGTAATTAATCGGCAATTATTATTATTTTATTGAACACTTTATTATGTATAAACAACATAACCAGATAACAAAGTATTATTTACATGTCAAAATATCCTTTCTGCAAATTTTATATATACCCCATTTTTAGATTTTAAAACAATTTCGTAAGAGAGAATCATTTCAAAATCTTCAACGGGCAGTAGTTGAAAGCGTCTTAAAACCATAGCAAGTGTAGATTTAATTTCGAACATGGCAAATCTTTGTCCTGGAAAGAAAAACAAGTTTTAATGATATTTTCGAGCAGGATATCATTTCAGATGTCTAATGATCATACCAATACAATTTCGCGGTCCTGCACTAAAAGGTATATAACTAAATGCATTCCGTTTAGATTGATTTTCAGCGGTGAAACGTTCGGGATCAAATTTTTCTGGATCCGGAAAAATATTTTGGTCCCTGTGAAGACCATACGTAAACATTCCCAGTGGCACTCCTGGCGGCAAAGTCACTCCATCTAAAAAAACAAATAATAATAATATCACAATTGTTAATTCAGTCTTGTGTATTTTTAGGTCAAGTTTTCGTGATATCTTTTCTTAATATATTTAAGCTACAAAACACCAAATACCAGATGGACACTTTAATTACCGTAATTAATATCTTCATCGACTTCTCTTGCAATAATTGGCACTGGTGGAAACAATCGCAACGATTCCTTTATGACCATTTCTAAGTATTTCATTTCTTGAAGATCCTTATAAACAATAGGTCTATATTTATCTTCGTCGTTTCTAAAAATTAGTTTTAACTCTTCAAGGACTTTATTCTGTAATTATTATAACAAATATATAATAAATACTTGTAAACTCATATTCAATGTAATACCTGAATTTCTGTATTTTGAGCTAAGCAAAACATTGTAAAGGTTAAAGCTGATGCAGTTGTATCATGACCCTAAAAGAAATAATGTATGTAAATAATTAACATATTTTGTTATCTTTTTGTCTTAGTACAGCAAACATAAACGTATTAACTTCATCCCTAATTTCTTCATCGGTTAATATCTGCCCATCAACTGAAGATTGAAGCATCAAATCTAAGAACGCCAAACGTCTTTTTCTGCCGAGTTCATTAACTTTTGTATCGATATTCTGTGATTCTAACACTTTCTTACGTTGCGCGATTACGGAATTTGTATATTCGTGGATTATTGCAACAAGTTTCTTTTCCGTTCTATAATCTTTAGTGAAAAAGTATAAGAAATCGTTCTGTGTAAAAATATTGAAACTTCTACGAGCAACAATTTCTCCCATAGTCCTCACGCTCTTCACATATGCAGATTCGGCATTTAATTGTGCGTTAACGTTAGTTCCCATAGCAGTTTCTAAAAAGAAAACGAAATAATAATTCAAGTAAATTGTATTTTTAGTTAATTTGTAAATATACCACATATAACGTCCAAAGTGTAAGACGTTACAAATGGATAAATATTGAAAGAGTTTCCATTCATCTTCTCTATTTTTTCCAGTAAGATATTCGATTTGGAGTGGAACGTTTCTATGAACTGTTCAAGAATTTGAAAATGAAAAGCAGGTGTTAAAATTTTCCTCGATCGAAACCATTTTTGCCCTGAAATATCTGTAATTATTATTATGCTCTAAGAATACATGAGTTAATTATTTACCAGTCGATGTCAGGAGACCCTCTCCAAGCCAACGCTTAAAAAATGCATAATCTTCAGATTTTTTCAAGATTTTTGTAGAAGTCAAGATGTGTTCCAAAAATTTTGTATCAGCAGTTAAAATAAAGGAAAATAGAAACCCATGGTAAATGTTCAGATGGTTTCCGAAATGTTTAAAATACTTTGTAAGAGCAGGTATAAAATCTAAAAATTAAAATATAAACAAAAAAATGCAATAATGAAATATATGTTTTTTAATTTTCTTAATAAAAAAAAGTTTGCAAACATTATTTAAAAAATGTAATATTAATTAAGGTACCCAATCGTACTACTTTGTGGACTTGTTACTGCTTTTTCATTTAAAAAACGTCCTTTAAAAATACTTATTATTTAAACTGTCTATCCTTGGTAATAAACATATATACCGGTAAAAAATATTATACAATAATTGTATTTTAGTGCTTATAAAGCTTATTTCACTCAGATAATTTACATTTTACCGCACTTTATCTTATTTTATCGGTGCATATGAGAGCCAGCCGATGTTTTCACTGGAACAATTGATTTATTCAAATAATAGTCGTAAATAAGCAATTAGTTTAAAAATAATTCAAGAGTTGAAACCCTTCTGGTACACACATGCACTCAACTGAACCCCCTCCCTCCAAAATGTTTAAATTTAATTCAAAACATTAATTAATATTAAAATAAGTTTTACATAACTACTCAACAAATTGATAATATTTCAGCCGCAAAAGTTAGCAATATTTTAAATTGTTTATATCTAAATAAACTTATAATTACAGATGAGCCAATCCTTAGATTAAAGATTTATATTTATATAATTTACAATAAAAATAATATATATATTGAAGTATGGTCAGCCAACTTCCTTCACTTTTCTGTATGAAGCAATACTATACATATTATTAAATTACGAATTAATAAAGAACGTGGGCAGAAGGAGTTGGTACTTATGCAACTGTGGATGAGTATGTTCATGCAAGATTGCAATCATCCGTAAAGACACTAGTCTCAGTTTTAACAGTAAAGTTCAACTAAATTGTTCGGACATGTACGCTACTGAAAGAAAATTTTATCGAAAGGGGGTAGAAAAAGTACCGTATAAAAAAAATAAATTTAAAGGCAATTTTTTATTTGAGAATAACAGTTACAAAAATTGTTGCCGGGGATGGAGTGTTGGTTCACATTAAGGAATTTGTGGCAACATTGTAGTTTCGCCACTGATTATGACGTAACTATATCAATCAGTACTTTTTTGCACAAAAAGTAATTGGTCAGCTTATATTAACATTAATTACAGAAATGTTAATAAATGAAATACGAATTGCATTTGTTAATTTATATATTATAATTCATGATATAAATGTACATTATATTTTAACCATGATTGCAATTTCACCAGTGAATTATTCAATGTTATAAATGAATTTGATAAGCTAAGTGACCTTAACCAGAGATGCTCCGTTTGTGATTTCAAGGACTACGACTGTTCGTTTCTTGTTTGAGCGTTGCTTTATTTCTGAAATAAAAAATGTACTAACGTGCAGTAGATGTAAATTTAAAAGATTCGCCCAGCAACAGATTGTCTGGTGGTGTCTTCACGTTCCTCAGTTTTCTCCTCACGCTGAACACGTCAAATAAAAACTTCGCAAACCAAGCCGCTGCGATAATGATGAGCGTGTATACGATAATGTATGCCATTATAGTTACTGGGAGCGACTGGATCCAACTTGAATGACTGATACTTTATATGTGTCAAGCAACGCCAAACTGACGAATATTATTTAAAATAATAGTCTACCAGAAAAATACAGATTAATTATATGAAACATGTTCTAAATATAGTTCATTATCTAAAAATCAATGAAACGTAAACATCATCGATTTTTTTTATTTTATCCTTTTAATTCAACAGATGGCGTTTTTGTTGTACTTTATTAAATACATTTTTTAATGTTTTTCTTACTTTCACATAGAAATGTTCCCAGTTTCTAAGTATATTTAATTAATTTCATAATCCAAAGAAAACAAAATCAATAAAAAGCATTGTATAAATTATAACGACAAACGGTAGATTATACTTATTTTATTCTCAACGTGTTTTTCAATACTTTTTTTGTATTAAAAACATTTTGATTAAATTGACATTTAATCAAAAACAATATAATTAATTATGGGAAAATTTTGGGAGTGAAAAAAATATTGGTTGTTACAATTATTTAATTACACACAATTTTCTATAACATATTTCATTGACATTGTAAGTTCAAAATATATTTTAACTATGATCTCAGCGCTCCATTTGGGGAGATATTTGATTATTTTCGTTTTTCTGTAAAATAAAAAGATTACTTCAAGATAATATTTTTTAAGACTACTTTAATTAATTCATTTGTTAATGATTATTATTGTTTATACATATTATTATTATAACATAAAATAATATAGTTTATATTTCATTTTACCTTAGTAAAATAATCTTCTTCAGATAAAATCATTTCTGGTCTGGCTAATATACCTTTAGCGGGTGGTTCCAAATCATGTATAATTTTATAAACTTCTGAATGCTGAAGGTGATCCATTTTTTTCGGAGGTGGTTGAAATTTCAAGAAGTTAATTCTATGGAATATATATATAACAATAATATAATTATTTTGTACATTCAGTTGACAATTAAAATAATAATACGCTTCTTAATTGTTAAAAATCTCAAATAAATTAAAATGAACAGCATATGAAATTACCTTCATGAATTGAATATTTATGAGATTAAGAGCTACAGTTTTGTTTGCTTTAATACTTACTTTTTAGTTTCGATTACTTTACTATGAACCAAACAACAATTGGATTCTCTGAAAATTTGATCAACTAGAAATAGCATGCTGTTTTGTTTATATATTGCATAATAAGCAAATGTATTGCATTTTACGAAAATTTATTTGTGTTGTGTTTAAAGTTGATGCATGTTTACAGTACCTATATATGGGCTGGGTGACATGTGTCCATGGCCAAATGTGATTCCAATGGTTAATCTGAAAATAACAAAACAACTTGTAAGCAAATATCCCATGAACTGTTTTCCTACCCAATCGTGTGTCCTGTAACAACTTCATAATAAGAGCTTATAGTTTGATCGATCTTGTCATCAGACATTTTTGGTTGTCTGAATGATCGAACTGCGTCATCGGGTTGAGACCATTTTCTACCTCCCGGTAAAATTATTGGTCGCTCCAGAGGTGCCAGGGGTCGAAACTCGTTCATTTCCTACAAAAAATGTTCCACCTCAAGCTTAAAATTAATAATACTCAAAAGTATAATTATAAATTTAGTTAAAGCAATAATTAACGACTGGTACTAAAGAAAGCACCGAGTATAATAATTTCCAAATACAGCAAATGTATTTAATGTTCACACGTTTTGAATCCTTTCCAATTTGGATACCCTTCAAAAATGTTACCTTGTGAATTCGGATTTTCGATAGTAAACATAGTTTATTTTAAATAGTGGTACTGCCATTGAAATTACCTTGGCTTGTTTATCAATTTTCAATTGTGCGTTCTTCTTTTCCTCTATTTCTTCTATAAGTTTCATATCAATGTCTTCTTGATCCATTATATCCTCTTCTAGGCTCATAGTTTTAACAAGAACACTTGCCTCCAATTCAGAACTTTGCAAACACCGTTGTTCTTCTATTAAGAAATCTTGTATTGATTCCCTATTTTCACTTTCCTCTTCAACGATACTTAATGCATCTTGCGATTCTAAAAAAAATATTTATTAAGTTTAAAATAAGTTCAAATAAATTTTAAAGTCTTAAAAAAATAGTTAAATCAAACTCATCACATTTACCTAGAATCACAAGTTCAGTAATTTCATCCTCCGTGTCTGTGTTTTCAGCGCAACTGAACTCCTAAAAAATAATATGGATGTAATCTTTGATACTATTTAGCAAGTGCCAAAATGCTATTTATAATAAATTACGTTTTCCATCTCTTCTTCGTGCGATTGACTGTTATGCGCAATCTTTTGTAATTGTTGCGTTATTAAACTCAAAGTCATTTGAATCGTCTGAGGTAAATCAGATAGCGCTGAAAGTTGTTCTTTGACTTGCGATAGCTGCTGTTCTATAGATAAAGTTGATTTTTTCGTACCTACGATATAATATATGTTATTTACAAAATAATATAACGTTAATTGACTCACCAGTAATATATGTCATATTCTCCTCACTTTTCTCGGAAACTGAATCGTAGTCGGGTTCTATTTCAACTGTAATTTCTTTATTTATAATATCATCTTCTTCTTCTAATTTTCTTCTTTCATTTTTGTTAGCTTCTTTCATTTCAACATTTATTTCATTATAAGTCTCCTCTTCAGCAATTAATGTTGCTTCATATGCTGCTCTTTCTGCTTCAATCCGAGATTCTTCTGCTGCGATTTCCATAGCTACCGCTGCTTCCTTTTCTGCTTTCTAATGAATAAAATTCAATATTTATAAATTAAAATTAAACGTTTATAAATTAAATAAATTCTACCTTAGTCGCTCTTTCAATTTCTAGATCTTTTTTTGTTCGTATAACAACTTTGTATTGATTTTCCTAAAACATAATATGTTACTAAATAAATGCGAGTTTATCATCTAATACTTACTTTTAATTCTTCTTCTTTGACAATTGGTTTAGGATTTTTAGGTTTTTGCAAAAATGTGGACCACTTTCTTTCCTCTATCTCTAAATCACTCAAGCACGTATTGATGGCCTAAAATAATGTATTCCTCAATAGATCGCATTAACTATGTTCGCATGTTATACTTTTAAAACTTCCGATTTACCCAAAACTTCATTTTCGCAAATTTGTGAAGAGTGCACATGTTGTGCACTGACTTTATTTGCTGCTGATTGCATTTCTTCAAATTGATTTCGTTCTGCTTGAATAAGTATCTGGGTATTTACTTGTTTTTCAATTGTTTGCTCTAAATACAATTCGGATTTTACTTCTGCGTTCGCAACATAAAACATACGTTGTTCTTCGGTAGATACATGTTCCAAATTTTCATTTTTTTTGAGCTCTTTTAGAGTTGCAGAATTTTCGAAATTTTCTGGATTTATTATTCTGTGAACTTCTTCGTCTGTTAAATTTAAATCGTGCTTTACAAATGATATATTTTCTGAAATGTACATATATTTTTATTAAAAGAAATTATTTGTTTTCATCCAACCTGTAGTTTGTTCGTCAGGATATGGCCTTTCTTCATATTCAATTGGTATAGAACCTTCCAAAATATTATACACTTCTTCATTTCTATCTTCATCCTAAGAAACAAAATGATGTCATTTTGTTGAAAGTTAAAAAAAAAGACAAATTCTTACAGCTATTAAATTTAATTGAATATCCGTTAGATCGCCCCTAAAAAGATTTTTTTAAGTAATATTATATCAATTTGAGTAGAAATTACCTTAAAATTTTCACTGTAAATTCTTGATCTAATTTAAGAAGCGATTCATGGGCTTGCTCGTGAGTTAAATCATCGGTATTTGTATCTTGAATTTTTAATAGAACGTCTCCAACTTTAAGCCCAGCTCTATCCGCATGACTACCATCTACAATCTTTCAAAGATTATTGTTTTATATATGTATAATTAAAAGTGATTTACTAAATACCTTCACGACAGTAAGAGGAAAATCATGGTCGGAGCCTCCGGTTAAACGGAATCCCCAAGGGTGGTTGTCCTTTTTGGAAAAGCGAAGTTCAATTGCCATTTAATAATTCCGGACTGTCACTATTCCACTAGTAGATCACATAGTTAATTTGAGACTGAGAACCTCAAGTCGCATTAACTAGTTGATCTATCAGTCCTAAACATTTTGTAACCTATTTATCTAAATGCCAATTAATCTATTTAAACCAACCTTATTTAATCTATTTATAAATGAAATGAAGTTTACATTGAATATTTAAATAAGCATATATGGAATAAATTTAAAATGCTGTTATTTTTTGTAAATATATTTATTTTCAAATAGGTAATATTAAATATAAATTATAAAAATAAGAAATGTTTAGAACCTCTGACTGCAAATAAGTCAATAACGCGCCGTTTGTCGAGCCAGGAAATACGAACGGACATTCCGTACATTGAAATCCGATGCCCCACCAGTACTTTACGAAGCTAATAATAAAGTCTCCTTTCATTACACCTTATTTATTATAGCAAATACTTAATTAAAAAAATATCTAAATAAAGCAATATATAAATATAAATCGTTAGTAATCTATTCTGCATCTTGTCCTTTGGATACAATGGCCTAGAAAATAATGCGTTAAATTTATAGAAATGTATGTATACTTGCTTGTATAATCAATTACTTCCGTAACTTCTATAATTTTAGTACTTTCAGTAATGCTCGCTATTTCGTTTGATGATAATTTATTTGAGATTTCCGTGGTTGTAGTTGTTGTCCGTCTAAACGGATTTAATTGTTGCAGAACTTCAAAAATCTGAGGTCTTTGTGGCTGATCTGCTGTATAATTAGCTGGCAGAGATGTAGAATTTATTTTATTTATATTTTGGCCCTCCAATTGAGTAGCATTCTGTGGCCTCATTATATTATTAAAGGCTTGGAGTATCTGTTGTCCTGCGTTTTGGAAAAACTGCATAATACCTCCAGATGTTTCGTTGGTCTGTCTACCAGAATATACTTCTTTGTTTATATCTTTAAAATTCAAAATTGTATTTCTAATATTCTTAAAAGTGTTATCCAATATCTCAATTGTTTGTCCAGTTTCGGTAATTTTAATATTTTGTAGAGATATATATTTTTTGGTGGACCTCAGGAAATTATCAAATGTTGCATTCACATTGCTCAACATTTCTTTGTTGCTCGGATTATTGGGCATTTGGTTATGTATACCGTTTTCAATTTCAATCGCACTATTTTTAACGATTGTCTCAATTTTAAGATATAATTTATCATCGTAAATCAATGTTAAATTCTTACCGAAATTGATTTTGTTAATTTCATCTTGCAAAATCAATGCAGAATTCACCGAAACTATCAACGTGAGAAATAAAGGCGTATACTTCATCTTAGGTTAGGCTTTGGACTGTATTAATTGAATTCCTGTTGCTGGTTTTATGCACTCCTCATACATATATGCCATGTATTTACCATTTTTGCAGACGCAACCGGTCCCAGTAAGAAAACGTATAGATAAAATAAATGATTTGTGAACATTTCAAATGCAGCTGCTACCATAAACGTTAAAAATGGTACGAAATAAATATAAAATAAATATTTGTTATTAACATGTTTATTAATTGAATATAAAATATAAAGGTGTAATAAAAACAAAAAATTATAATAATAATATTTATGTTTTCTTATTGGTATCTTCAGAAATCAAATCTTCTACAACAATTGGTGTAGTGGAAGCAACGACTGGTTTTATCGTTGGTTTTATGGTTGTTATTTTGAATGGATTAAGAAATTGAATTGTATCTAATATTGGTCTGGGTGGTTGAGGAACTGTTGAATCGGCAGCGACATCTGCAACTTGCGAAGGTGCTGACGTTGGTTTGAAGGGATTTATATTTCCAATGAAACTTGGTATAAGTTGCCATATGCTAATTGGACTTGGAGTAGGACCCGAAATGTTCAAAATTGAACTGACTCCATTCGAAATCACTTGAAATCCATTTTGGAGTAAGTCTAGAATATTCTGTGGTGGTTGCGATGATATCTGACGAGTACTTTTTACTTGTTTTATATAGTCATTAAGTCTATCTGTCAACATATTAGATAATTCCAATATATAATATTGTCCTTTCATCAATGAAATGCCAGCGTTCATCTTTATATATTGCTGAGATTCTACCAACAAATTTTCCAACGTAATATTAATACTATTCAGTATTTCCATTTTATTTAAATTTGTATAGTGATCTTCTGGCATAGCTCTAATACCATTAGAAATTTGAAATGCTCCATTTAAAATGGATTCTTTTACTTTTAATGCTAGAAACTGATTATACTTGTCTATAATGTATTTAGATTCCTCGGAGAGTTGTGGCTTTTCTTCTAAATTTGCAAGAGATTTTTGATATGTCGTCGACGATTGCACAGAAATTATAAAACTTATTAGCAAATACCACTGGACCTTCATTTTGGAAACTAAAGCTAAAGAAATGCAGAATATCCTTTTATATCAACCTTTACATGTTTTTTCTGCATAAAACTTTTGTTACTTTTCATGCTTCTAGTGGCGTTGGGGTTTTATTGCATTTTTACTCAAAACCGGTCCTACTGAAACTGGTAACATCTTCAAGGAGATACGAAATTTATTTAGGGTCAGTGCACCATGGTTCACGTAAAATATTTAGTCGGATCCAACCGCAGGTACTTGTTAATTTTCAGGAATAAATTGAAATTGTTTGTATTTTTAGTATTATTAAATAAATAGTCAGAAAGACCACGATCGCCAAAAGGTTTTGTGTATTGCATGCTTATTTATTCATTATTAGATATTAATTGAATTAAGGATTATTGGTGATGAATTCGAATTTAATAATAATATTGATTATAAAATTATAAAAATTATATAATTAATTATAAATAGATAATGTAATAAATATAAAACCATGTGAATCATTGTAAAGGGGAAATTAAAAAAAGAAATACGATCATAATTAAATATACAAAAAATAATGGAGCGATCACGAGAAAATGACGTATTCATATGGAAGGTAGGTTTAAAATTTGTATTCGGTATAAAATTGTCGTAAAAAAATGTGTTGATTTGAGATTTTCAAACAGTTTATCGATTATAAGGACCATTTTAGTTTAGTTTTGATTAGAACTATCAATCATTTATATGATTGCATTTATATGTTATGCTGTCTAATTTTGGTTATTAAAAGTGCTGGTATGTGGTTGTATGTGTTCAATATTTAATTGTTCACTTAATGATTTTTGTGAAGTAATTAACAATAATCTTAGAACTTCATCCAATCCAAAATAATATGGACTATAAATGATATACGAAGGTAGAATCATCATACAGAATTGGGTTGGGATTTCAAATATTGAGATCGTATAGGTCAAAACAAAATATATTATAAAATAATGGCAATACAAATAAAATATAAATAAGAAATATTTATTGATAATATTTTATTAGTAGATAAATATAAATATAATTATTGTATTTGACATATTATTAAAAATAATTTATACTTAGTTTCTAAAGCAACAAGTAAATAAATTCGGCACATTTTACTTTTCAGTCATATTTCATTGTTTATGTGGACTCCTAAAACAATATGATATTAATTTAATATATTTTTTTGTATGTATGTTATACCTTAATTTCATTTGATTTGCTAAACGGTTCAGCTTCTGCGATTTCGTTAGCTTCTGTTATCTCGGTTGGTTTCACCACTTCCTCTTGTTCAATCGGTTTTGAGACTTCAACTGTCTGAGATTCTTCAGTCGGTTTTCTTACTGGAACTGCACTCGATGAAATGGGTCTAGATGTGCTTGAATCGGGAAGTGGATCATTTTCGACAGCAGGTTTGGTCGTTGTTTGTGGGTTAAACGGATTAGCATTATTTATGGCTTGTATAACTTGTTGACTGGCATTTTGTAAAATGGATAATGGACCGGCTGGTTGTGAAACGGTAGTCACATCTCCTAGGACATTTGGCGCTTGGGTACCCGGATTTAAAGCATTACCAATTGCTTGAACTACTTGCTGTCCAGCATTCTGGAGGAATGTGAATGGACCGTTCGGTTGGGAAGACGAGGTTTCGTCGGACTCTGAATTTGGAGATTGAGTAAATGGATTAGCGCTGTTTATAACTTGGGCAACTTGCTGTCCAGCATTTTGTAGAAATTGCAGTGGTCCTTGGTTTGTGCTTTCTTCGTTTTGAGATCCTTGTTGAAATGGATTAAAATTTTGTAATGCGGTTTGAATAGTTTGTAATGGATTTGTTTGTGTTGGCTTAGATGTTTGCTCGTCGCTCTCAGCTGCCGCTACTGGAGCTGATGTAACTGGTCTGTTAATAATATTATTGATATTTTGAACTAATTGCTGGCCAGCTGACTGTACAATTTGGAATGGATTTGGAGACTGTGTTGGTTGAGCATCTCCTAAAACGGTTCCTTGGGTCACTCCTTGATTGCTGATGTTATTAATATTGTTGGCAATTTGTTGGAAACTATTTTGAATTTGAGTAACGATCATTTGAAATGGATTGTTGGAAGCTGTTTGTTTTATAGATTGTGATGCAGAAACATCTTTGAAGAGATCAGCAGAGGCGGCTTGGAAATTGTTTCTTACTTCTTTGAGGAAGTTGCCGGGCAAGGCTTGTTTCACATAATTTTTGGATTCGGAAAGTTTTTTAGTAAATTCCAAAAAAGTTTCTAAAGTCGCATTAACCTTACTCAATACATCAGCTTTTGTCGGTTCACCAGTTTCGACGTTAATATTTTCAACGTTTGTTTTAATATCATTAGCTCCATTTAAAACGATCTTTTCAATTTCGTCATATACATCAACGGTATATTTAATCTCATCGACAGACGATTTTACATTCTCTCTTCTCAATTCATCTAATGCAGTTTGTACATCGACATCGGGAATTGGAAGATGCTTACCAGCTTCGGACAATTGTCCCGGTGAGAGTTGAGGTTTTTCTTCTAAGTTTCTGATGCCAGCATTTGATTCAGACGAATAAGAGTTGAGGTTTCGTGAACTGGCCGTTTGGAAATTAACTTTATCGTATATTATTTTAACTGGAATCTCTATGGATTTTTGATAAATTGCCGCCGAATAAACGGCAGACACAAAAGTAAAAACCAAGAACCACTTGCTCTTCATCTCGTGTTGCAGTTTAGACTAGAGTTATTGAACTCACGCGACTGGTTTTATACCGGCTCCTTATTTTATAGATAAATTCTGCCACTTCTTAAAAGAGCGGTAGTGTATTTTTCTAATAATCGCACGTGAAAGTAATAATTATCACGATGTGCCGCTACAACCGGTCCGGTCCAGCAAGCCTCGAGCAGGTGGGATCGACAACATCTCTTCATACGCAGTCTTCTCTTGCAATCCTTAGGGTCAAGGACTTGTAAACAGTTATAAACAGTTACTATACGAAATGTTTTCTTCGTACAACGTCCATAAAAAAATATGTTATATGCTCCAACCGTTTTTAAATTCCAGTTTTTTTTATATTTAAATATTTCGTACATTTCGAATATTCCTATCATTATAAATCATACTAATAAACCCACTAACACAATTTATTATAAAAAGATAAACAATGTTATGTTAATTTAAACGACCCAGATAGAATTCCAAAATCTGTAATAGGCAGTTTTCTGTTTATTTCATGAGAGCCACATCCACGTATACTGTGTAATGAAATAAAGTTGATTATTACAGTGTGCCACCGTTTATTAGCTATTAAATACAAAATATATACTTTATAAATTCTTCTAATTATCATGTGAAAGTAATTAATGAATATTGAATAAAATGTAATTTGTAATTCCATAAGCTGCCAACAAATATTTACACATAAGCACGTACAGGCAAAATCGTATAAAATTAAAATAAAACACAAGAATCTTTAAAACATTTTGTAGATGCAATCAAATCTAAATATAAAACACAATAATAATTATTATTATAAAATGTATTCCAATTTTTGATCGAATTTATTCCGACAAAAAAATAGTCAATAAATCAATAACAAATTTAGTTTTTAACAAATTCATAAACTGTTAACCGAAGATTTAGAAGAAATACTAAACCCTAATTTTATGATCCACGACTTCATGCATGACTCTTGTTCATACATTATTTTTGAAACCTAAGTTCTTATTGGATAACCGAATATGTCAGAAAGAGTTATATGGTGGAAACATTAAATAACACAAACACAAAATACATCTTTGAACGAAATATAATATAGATCGTATTATCTATCATTCATTTATTGTGTTTTGAATAATTAAGTTTCTAAGTGTACATATATATGAAGGTAGAATGGTTTTGGTTGAACTAATAAAAATCTGTCAATATATGAAATCATTATTTTTATGTATTTCGACAATTTCCACGTGTCATTGTATAAAATACCGACATTATACACCTTCCCGCATATATAAGAATAGTAATTACATACTGATTAATCGTACACGCTTTCCAAAGAGGAAATGTACTACACATATAAATGATAAAGGTTAAATACTATAATATAAATAATAATGATCGCCTACTATATTGCAATTTCATTTTGTGTTTTTCTATTAATTATTTTATCAGTTAATTACTCAATGTGCGTTTGTTTATTGCCTTGTATTTTGACCAATAAACTATTATTATAAATGAGACTTATCCAACCCGCGAACCGCACGCGGCTCAATAAAAAATCATAAACTTACAAACTTCATGAGATTGCGACTAAAACTATCATTATTTTACTCTATTATAAACTATTGTTAGTGTATTTTAGGTGTGGCTAGGATCAAATTTATTTGGAATCAGATTTTTAACGCGATTGACCAAAAATCGTTTTGTGATCGACCTTGATATCAAAAATCAAAGACAAGATGATTTGCGGTCGCCATACTACCGCAACCCATATTACAAATATTCATATAGATAACAGAATATATCACGAAGGACAGTCCTAAATTTCTAAAGAAACTTAAACTGGTACCGAAATTAATTCTAAACTTAATATTTTATTTATTCATTATTACTTTGTATTGATTTATTAATTTGATTATCTATATTATGTGTTTATTTCGAATATTTTCAATATTTAAGAATCTTCGGATCAGCGGTAGTGACAGGCGACTTCAACGCAAAACACCCAGAATGGTGAGAGCAGGGGAGAGACACGAAAAGACGCAAGAGGAGTCATGCTGACGGAATGGGCAGCAAGCTTGGACTTGTTGGTTACAAACAGAGACTCCAACTCTACCTTTGAGAGAGGCTCTAGTTCTAATCCTGGATTTAACTTTAGCCACGACTAGAATGGTCACCAAAATAAACAAATGCAGTGTTCTCGACAGAGAATCCATGAGTGATCATCGATATATCTCTTTCGAAATTGGGAGCTGATAAGATCGTCTCGCAGATTGGCAGCTTTGTCTTATATCTGCTATCTCAGCTTCAGTTGGCAAGCATTGGGCTTTATTTTTGGAAGAGTTCGGAGAAGGGAGCCTGGACTAGACGCTTAATCCCAGAAGTAGGACCCTGGATTTCCAGAAAACACGGCGAGACAACATTCCATCTGAGCCAATCGCTTTACGGGCACGGGTGCTTCAGAAAGTACCTGCACTTTATAGGCAGGAAGGAGGACGAAAAGTGCTGGTACTGCGAAGAAGACGATAGCCCAGAACACTCGTTCTTTGGTTGCTGCAGATGGGCGACGATGAAGCACGAGGCTGAATTCAAATCTAGGAGAAGTGCTGGAACCGGAGACATTCGTCGGGGAGATGCTAAAGAGTCAAGAGAAGTAGGACATCATCACAGGCTACGTAGCAGGGGTGCTCTCCATTAAGGAAAATGACGAGCGGAGGAACAAATCCCAAAAAATCTGTAACGTTTGGTCAAGTTATATAGAAGAAAATTGTATATGTAGCCCGATTTTGAATCTGCTAACATATGCACACACATTTGTATAACCCACTTTACAGTTGTGTAAATTAATTTCGAATTTATATACTCCGTGATATTGCTCAAATCTATTTTTATTACTAGAACATTTTCACTCTGACAATTATCATCTGCATCTATTTTCTTGAAATTACATTTTCATAAGTAATTAACGAGAAAAAATATTTAAATAATCCAGTTGAGCCTAAGAAGTTTATTTCAAACATTTTATATTATTAACTATTTTGTGTATACGCGAGTTAAATACAACTCACATGTACTTTAGTTAGAATTTAAAATCGAGTCAAATAACAAATGTTGGTTTAATTTTATTTACAAAATTCCCTTCTTACTATTGTTTTGAATTATATAATTGAAAATACAAAAGAAATAAACCTTAATTAGTGACTGTTTCAACAGATGCATTTTGTAATGTTTCTTCGGTCATATTTACAGTAATATGCTTTTTAATCACTTCTATTTGTTTGAGTTTGTTCTAATGTTAGTTCTTCTTGAAATTTTCTGTTTCGTCGGTGGTTATTTGAGATTTTTATTTTTGAAGTTCTTCACATTTGACGTGATTAAGCAATCCCACTGAATTCGGACTGCATGGTTTTGTTTATTATGTATTTGTTTATTTGAAAAAAGAATTCGGAGTATTCAAAGAGACTTCGTAGATGTCTCTTAAACATTGTTTGTTTATATACTCTATTAACAATAGGCCGACCAACACAATGTCGAATGTCTATATAAAATAACCAAAACACTAGCACTGGCACACTACCAACAAAAAGCATCCATGGGAAGAAGCAATTATGAATTAATTTAATGAAAAAAAATGAAACGTTTTGAAAACATTACACTAATGTTACTGGCTACATCTATAAAAAATAAAACTCCTGTTTCTACTGCAGGGACAATACAATTTGAAAAGGTCCTCAAACATATTTTAAGCCATGAATGTTTTTTATTAGATGTTTTTCATTACTTATTAGGACATAATTTATAATCAATTGTTTTATCATTAATTTCACTGTAGATTGCTACAAATTTTTCGATTAAAAAAAGCTGCTTAAAATGTATTGCATCGAAATCGCTTTTCCCAATTCCCGTATTATGAAAGTAGTGAATTATGGAAGGGTTTACTGTATATAGTTCTTGATGATTAATATATACAATAATAAAATTTATGGTAAAATAAATTAAAAACATTGGAAACAGTCAACTATATATATTTCATAAGAAATGGAGAAAAATGGTTGTATTGTATATAAAACACATATTGGATTCATACAAAATAGAAATGTGACTGTTTTATAACTTATTATACATCTAATCATCCTTGTTGTTGTTAACCTTGCCACCACGAATACGACCAGTTCTACGGGCAGCGATGAGACCAACTTTGCGACCAGCAGAAGTTCCTCTCTTAACGGTGGAAGCTTTACCAATATGTTGATGGTTACCACCACCATGAGGATGCTCAACTGGGTTCATGGCAACACCACGTACCTTTGGCCAGCAGTTACGCTTAGCCTTATATTTGTGGTAGGCACGTCCAGCCTTCAAGATTGGTTTGTCGATACGACCACCACCAGCAACAATACCTATTAATAATTAAACACAAATTAATAATCACATTCTCAAATGAAAGTAAAGTATACATACCAACCATAGCCCTGTTGTTGGATGGAATAACTTTCTTAGCGCCGGATGGCAACTTAACTCTGGTCTTTCTGGTGTCTGGATTATGGGCAATTACAGTAGCGTAGTTACCGGAAGCACGCGCCAATCGGCCGCGATCACCAGTCTTTTCTTCCAAATTGCAGACAATAGTACCTTCAGGCATAGAGCCAACTGGCATTACATTACCTAAAAAAAATATTAAAAATCACAATTTGAGCATACACACATATTTAATATCAATTATACTTTGTTCTTTAAAACAGTGAGTTTATTGCAAATATATCTTTTACTAAATAAATTATCTTTATTGATATTGGTAGTTTTTTTAAGAGATTTATATAAATTGTTATTTATATAAATGAATTGGCCATATTTCTGCCACCTTTTTGACTCCCACTATTTGTTGTTGGTGAGACTTGAACCTGCCAACTTTCATATCTGATTTTGTGATACACGCAACTATAGAACTGAGTACATATTTGTTTGATAATAAGAAATTGTTTAATATATTTTTCAATTACTTTTGCTCACCAAGAAAATTCATTAGTAATTATGCATTTAGTAATGTATTGATATTTTAAAATATTATTTACTTACCAATTTGCAAGTTAGCCTTCCTTCCACAATACAAGAATTGTCCGGTGTACATGCCCTCTGGGGCAATGAACAATTCCTTCTTGGTTTGGTATTTGTAGGCATTTCTGAAATGTACAACAGCCAAAGGAGCACCACGGCCTGGGTCATGGACGATATCCTTAACTACACCCTTGATGTATCCATGACGTTCAGCGAAGTCTAATGGACGCAACTTTGGTGCTCCTTTCCTTTTCTTGGTATGAGCTTTGAAGACGGATCCCGCACCTTTACGTTGCGCACGAATTACACGTCCCATCTTGTAAAGACTAAAAACATATATAGAATTTAGAACAAGACATTTAAATTGTCCAATATAAGCGTGTAAACATATGCATAACCTACAAACACAAACAAACTTTCGATAACTTTTTCCACTTATAAAAATTAAACAATCTACTAAAATAATAAAATAGAACGTTACTTTAATAGTTACAGAATTATTTTTACTATTTAATTAAAAATGATGGATAACATTACACAAGATATTTAAAGATTTTTAAGCACTTTTGGAGAAACAACCTACCGTGTCTAGAATTGACAATATGAAAGGATGTTTTCATCCAAACTTCGTCTCATTTCACCTCTGTTACCAACATTATAACAAAAAATACACTAAAAAAAATAATGTTTTTGTCGTTAGTGTGGTGAACCTGCTAATATTCCCGCATATTTACGTATTCTTGAATTATCATTTTCACAATTAAAAGTTATATGCTTGTTTATTTTTATCCAGATTTTTTATTTTAATTTTTATTGTTATAACAAACTATCACAACTTATATATACATCCCTAACCGAGATCCTCCAAACTGCGATAAGAACTGATAGGTCCCTGCTCGAGAATAGTCTACCTATATATATATATGTCTCTTATGTGTTTGAGGTTTGTTTGTTCATATGCTAATTTATTGATATATTTGTTTTGATTCTTTTTATTTTAAAATATGTAGATGTGTTATTTTTATTGAGTTATGTATTTTTATCTATTTAATATGACATTGACAGCAGGCTACATGCACTCCGTTGTGCGAGCTAAGTTACATACTTCTACTCTTTTCAGAGTGGATGGAACCAGTTCTGTTGTGTACTTAAACTTTCTTAAAAACCAAATTAATTGTATTTTTTCGTATATTTGTTTGTGTGGATACAATTTTAACATAGAGAACAAAAGCGTTTAATTTCATCATATTTTGCTTTATTATTACCGAAAAGGTGATTTTTCACTCAAAGATGAACTGCGATCTGATAGGCCAAATGAAGTTGATGATGATCAAATCAATGTCGTAATTGATTCTGATTCATTAAAAACTCGTTATTTAGGTTACTCATAAGTTTATGGAAATTCATTTACCCAACGCATTAACATCTGCGATTTGCAGCTCAAACGAAATGAAATCGAACCTTTTTTAACTCTTTGAGGGACACGCTTTTTGAACAAATGTCAATCGTCGGAAGATTTATTAAATATTCACATGAATAGATTGTAAAATAAATATACTATGATATAATGAAAAAAAATAATTGTGGTGTTGTGTCCAACCATTATTATTATAATTGTTATTTTTAATATAGTGTATTAACAAACTAGAGACATCCACCGTGATCCCGGTTCGATACCCTTTAATATAAACAAAGGAGACCAAGCGTAAACATTCCCATCGATACTCGTATGCCTTTACTCCGAATTCAAGTCCTTATTATAAACACATAATGATCGTTATTGATCATCTTTTTCATATAAACAAATGCATAAATTAACTTTGTAAGTAGAATAAGTATTTAGAATCAGTCTCAGTAAAACCTTCAAAGACTAACATAGTCTCAGCAGAAAACCAAGTAACGGATAAAGTTATGTAAAACCAATTGAAATATTTAATTCCTACAACTAAGACTCCACAACGACAACACCAGACAATATTCCACTGTGTCCAGAATTCAATTCCTGGGACACGACAGTGTTTTCTAGAAAATGTCCAAGAAAGAGGAATTACCATTTACTTTGGTTGGTAAGTCAAGGCATGAATCTTGAAAGGCCATATCCAGCCATATCACCCGATGTTGATTCAGATGTCCAAAAATTGGTTGGGTCTAGAAATTTATGAATTTCTGGCCCCTCAGAGCATTACAACGGATCTAATGAATATGAACTAGCGTAAAAAACATCGAAAGTTTTTATTATACTTTCAGTTTGTTCAGATACTTGCAAAAATTATTGAATGGTAAAACCTTCAATGATGATGCTGTAAAATTACACCTAGTTCAGTTTTTTGCTGATAAAGCCCAGAAGTTCTATGATCGTGTGAAAATTAACTACAGTCAACCCTCCTATAACGCGATGGGTGCGTACCGCGTTATAAGAAACTCGGATTTAACCGTACAAACCAGGCTAATTCGTAGCCTGTTCTATGGAAACCGTCTACCGCAATTGTATGGAAACCGCGCTATAAGAAACTCGGAATTAGTACAAATCGCATCATTCGTACAGCGGAGACCAATAAATACAAAAGACAAGATAAATTATTTTTATTGTATTGAATTGAAGAGTTCATATAAGGATTGATAAAAAAAATGAAACAAGAACTATACTAAAAAACTGTTTTTCAACAAAAACAATGAAGACTTTTGTAAAATTATGTAATCTTTCAACAATCATCCTCGCTGTCAGATATGAGTCGCCTAACTCGTCTTCTTTTAATGGGCAAAATGTCTTCATCACTTAGTTCATCTTCACATTGGTTCTCGATTGTAGCTTTTCTTAACTCTCTTTTAAACTTTGTGCTGCGCACCGTTGAACGATCAATTTGAATGAAATGAAGTTCTAATTCTTTAGCCAAATAGCCAAATTTAGCCCTTTTCACATCTTGTAAATCGAGATTTGGCACCCATTCGTTTTCCTTATTTTCGTTTAAAGTTTCTTCCCCGAGTACTAGTTTTCTTACATCCTGATGGTATACTGCAAATTATTCATCGCCAATGACACGGTTCTAATACAATCTAATACAAATGGTTTGGAAAAGTTGGCCGGGATAAAACAATTATAAAACCAATCCTTAAATAAATTTTGAGTCATCCAAGCTTTCTTATTAGATCGCCAGAATACAGGCAATTGGGTCTTATTAATGTTTTTCATTACACGGGGAGTTGAAGAACGATTTATTATCATTGGTTTTATCATCATGCTCCCTGATAGAATGCTGCACACATGAAGGATGATACGTTCTTTTGAAAGTTTAAACCTCAGAGCACGCCTTTGATTTATCAGAATGAAGGTCTTAGATGGTAGTTTTTTCTCGGCAGTGCGTTTGCGTCGAAAATAAAACTTATATTAAAATCTCTTACAATATCTAGTTACTAGTCATTCATAGGCTGCGCGGAAGGAACTTATGGGATGCTGTTGAACGGAAACTGCGCTGTAAGAGTACCGCGTTATAGGAGGGCTGTCGCAATTTCAGTTCCGCTTTATATGGAAACCGCGTTCTGAGAGTACCGCGTTATTGGAGGGTTGACTGTATATCTTTTTCATTATGTATACATATGCCTACAACTAATGTAAAAGTAAATTGAAAATATTGAACCGTATCCACATTATCCAGAAAATGTACACAGTAACTTCACTGCTTTGAAGAACATGTCATGAATTACATGAGGAGAATTAATAAGCAAAATAGCGAATAAACTTTTATTTTCAAATAGTACTTAATCACAAACAAATTTTTAGAAGAGAATTTTATTTACCAGAAACAGCGAAATCAAAATTACATCCAAAATACCAAAAACAAATATACATTTATAGGACAATATTATCTTTATAAATAATATCATTTAAAATGTTATAGACATACTTTCTCAAACCAAAATATAAAAACATATTACAGTATGGGGTTGAAAAGCACCAGAATAAAATAAAAACTTCAATAGAAAAATTATAAAAATAATAACTCTTACTATAAAAAAACATTGACAAAAAGACTATCAAATGTTAATAAAAAAAATGCAGGGTTTCCTAAACATTTATACATTACAACGCACATTGTAGACTCCCAATCTTCGGTGAAATATGATAAGATTTATATATCATCACATAGATATTACTTATAAACTTATTTTAAGAATTAAAAAGTCTGCTATAACAGTGTAAACACCAGCTCAGTAGACATCCAATGCCAAGAAATAGGAAATACTTCTGAAAAAAGACTTTTATTACAACTGTAGAATAATGATAATTAAACTTTAAAAAATTTGAAACTGAATAAGAAACAGCCTCTAGCATAAATTTGTCTTTCATTACTTTTCAGATAATGTAGGTAAGATATTATTGATCATCACATAGATTTATTGCTATTTAATTTATGTACTATTACAAAGTCTGCTTTACCTGTCTATCATCAGCTTAGTGGACATCCAATGCCAACAATTGGGAAACACTTCTGGAAAAAGATATAAACTTATATTACATCTGTAAAATAATGATAACTAAATTAAAAAATAAATAAAAATGAATCAGAAACAGCCTCTAGCATAAAGAAGAAGTCTTTCACACTTCTGGAAAAGGATAAAAACTTATATTACAACTGTAGAATAATGATAACTAAATTTAAAAAAAAAT